CCCTGTGTCGGCGGCCGCGTTGATGGAGACGCGGCGCCCAGTGTTAGTAGCCGCGCGGGTGGAAGTAAGGAGAGACGCGCAGGAGACTGGAAAGTCGAACCTCCGCAGGCCGTTCGCTGTCCGCTGGGGCAGGGCCGTGAGCCTGATGACTCTGATCTTTTGGCCGGTAGCAGGTCACAAGCAGAACCCGGGGCTGTCGAGCAATCCTGCCCGAGAGCGGACTCCGCTGGCTCTCCGATTATTGATGTGAACGCAACAGTCGAAGACAGCCTTCTTGACGTAAACATGGAGCCAAATGCTATAATTTGGTACCAAAAGCACGACCCCTACTGCCGCGCGATAGCTTTCAAGCTAAGTAAGGGGAAGTGGCCGCAGAACTGTCCACCGGCACTGAAGCGAGAGAATCGTACTCGATTCAAATTTGTGAACGGTATTTTGTGCCGACATTCTCCGAATGATGACCGAATTCAGGTGGTCTGGCCAGTAGCCAAACGATTCGAAATCCTCCACAGGTATCACGACACTTCGATTGGGTCTCACTGCGGTGGATCCAAGCTGTATGACGTGGTGTCACGGCACCTTTGGTACTTGGGACTGCGCAGGGACTGTCAAGCCTACGTAGCCAGCTGCAGTCGATGCAGTACCAAGAAGGACGACCAGGGCCCCCCACCACCTCCGCTTTTGCCGCAGCAGCCAGCCGGTCCAGGAGACGAGCTAGTCATCGATGTGGTTCACATGCCGGCTAGCCGTATTTCGGGTATCTCACAGGTGCTGACTTGCATTGATAAATTTACATGTTTCTTGACGTTTTACCCCCTGCAATCTGGTTCCGCTGATGATATCGCACAAGCTTTGTCCTCTCAGTTTCTCACTTTTGGACCTCCCCGTCGTGTCGAATGTGATGCGGGCGCTAACTTGAAGAGTCAGACAGTCCGTCGGTTATGTCAGTTCTGGGGAATTGACCTGAGAAGCGCGGTCGGTGGGAACCACGAGGGAATAGGCAAAATCGAGCGGAGGCATCGTGATATAAAGAGGAGACTGCGAGCACTGTCTGATGATTATGGGGTTGACTGGGAATCGCATTTGAGTGGGGTTGTGTTCTCTCTCAACCACGAGCCCTCTGATAGCCATGGTTATTCGCCTTATTTCCTGTTCTTCATGCGTCACGTTAACTCTCCCGTACATGCCTTAGTTTCACAACCGACATCGCCTTCAAAACGCTCCACAAATCCGATAACGCTTCGTCTATGGAACGTTATTAGCCTGTCAGTACGGTTACGGATGTATATCGGAATCTCACGTTTTCCCCCGGGGCGGATGATGGCGTCCTGAATCTCCACATGATCTGAGCATTGGCCAACTAGTAAATATTCCTGTTCGGGCGACAAATCCTGGTCAATTTTAACATTTACACACATTGCAGAATGAGCAGACACTGATACGGGCTTGCAAATCCTAATTTTAACCTTCGGGCTCTCTGCAAGGGAAGAACAATCAATTACGGCGTTATTTGCCCGAAGAAAATCGAAACCAACAAGAAAGTCATGGGTGAGGTCCTCTACAACACAACAATCCCACTCGCATGGTGGAAACCCCGGTAGCTCCACCATCAGGCGACAAGTCCCAGTAACGTTCAGCCTGTGTCGCGAGGCCGACATCAGGCGGACAGGCTCTCCCAGCACTGCATCAGGTGCGATTGTGGCGCACACTTTCGAGTTAATCAGGGTCAGCTGACTACCTGAGTCGATCAGACAGTCTCTTACCTGGAAACCGTTCAGAGTGCACGACACTATCGGGAGTGATTTTACCGCCTGCCCGCCAGCCATCCGTTTGGGCAGTGTCGCTTGAAGTGTCCTCTTCCTCCGCAAGACCAGCAAGCAGGACGTCTGTCGTCGTCGTCCCCACCTTCTCCAGCGCCTGACTCCGCCGCTGCGTCAGCTCCACCGCGATCACCGCGCGGCCGCCAGCCGCCCCCTCCCCACCGGCCGTCCGGCGGCGCTCGGCCGCCCGGAGAGGCAGAGCGCCGAGCGGGCGAGGCAGAGCGCGGAGCGTGCGGCGGCGCCCGGCCGCCCGGCGATGGCGAGCGCGGTGCGCGCGACGGCGCCCGACCGGTAGGGGAGCGCGGAGCGGACGAATATCGGTCTCCCGGAGTTGCTCCGCTCCAGGAGCTGCTATCACGTATGGGCGACGCCCAGCGTACGTGACCCGATCCAGATGTTGGCCAGTTGTCATCTGATGCCGCTCCCTCCGTCCTGGGAAGGGACTCCTCTCTCACCAGCTCCTCGATGGCTTCCTCAAACGTGTTCGCTTTAAGCCGAGAAATGAGAGTCGCCTCCTCGGCACTCAAGCCGACCAGGAGATGTCTGAACAGTGCGGCGTTGTAAGCCGGCACACTAGTGCTCTTCACCGTTCCATCCTTCGTGAAGAACTCGGGACACGCTCTGCGAATCAGCAGACGCACCTGCTGTCCGAATTCCCTGGCCTTCATTCTTCCTTTCACGAGTCGAGATAACTGCATCGCCGCCTGCGCCGCCGTCGGTTGGGCAGAGAAATGTGACGTCAGCGACGTCGACAGCTGGGCCATGGAGAGTCGGCCGAGCCGCTGCTCCAGCTCGTTCACCACCGTCAGGGCGCGCCCGGAGCATCGCGCAGCTACGATGGACGCCAGCGAGTCACTCGATATGTTGCCGAGGCCGGCCAAACGCGAACACTGAGCCAGAAAGTCTTCCGGTGACACCGAGCCATCGTACAGCGGAAAGTCCGCGATGCCCACTTTCAGGTTAGTTGCCATACCTGTGTCCAGAGGTTTCTGCTGCGCGGAATCGTCACCTCCGCCAGCCTTCGAGTCCTTCTCCGTACCACCCATCACGTCCTCATCAAAATCCGTCACCAACAGCGCTCAGTTCGACACCGCTGCCACCATGTCGTGCTCAACCCCGAGCTCGGCCGCTCCAAACACGCCGGCCGCTGATACCAAACTGTATTTGTCTCGGGCGGCGGCCACGTCCCCCTCGCAACAGCTGACCGCGCACGGGTTACCTGCAGCTGCAGGGGCGCACTCAGGGATGCGCCGAGGGGAGAATCCATAACACCGGCGACTCGCTTGGGTGCCTGCCCAGACCAATGTCTCCCCCTAATTCCTATCATCCTTCCGGCTCTGCAATGGTCTTGTCAGACCGAAAGGGCCTAACCCAACAAAACAAACAAACAAATCAAGTTCGTAGCTCATCTGGTTTCGGAGATATTCCACAAAACCTAAAGGGGGCGGGGAAACTTTATGCCCCCCCCCCCCCGCGCCTCGTGGGTTAAGAACAATCCGAGATATACGAGTTGTGAGATCTCTGGATGATACTAGATCCTGTAAGTTTATTTCCCTTTGAAAGCTCATCTGGCACTGAGGGCGTTGCAAAGATACGACATTTTACGACCGTGCAGAGGTTCACTTATGACGTGAAAGGTCAGTGACCTGACCTTATCTTAGGGGACGGGGGAGGGGGCGCCCGCCCCCTCCCCTCGGATGGCAAGGGTTAACGTGTCGCAAGTACCTAGATGGTGACACGGTTCTCCTGGGTCTATTGTGGCCCTCTCGCCAGTTGCCAGCTAGCTGGATATAGAGACGGCACAAAGTGTCAACAACCTTTAGGACAACTTCGTTTTTCAGTGTCACCGAGGTCAGAATCGAGTAGGGAGCTCTGTTCTTGTTAACGATGCATTACATTTCAGTGCGAGTTCCACAGCATGACGTACAGTTAATCACTGTTCTGATCAGGGCTGTGGAGTCGGAGTCGGTCGGAGTCTACAGTTCTGTCTGGAGTCAGAGTCACCAAAATCTTACCGACTCCGACTCCGGAGTCGACGCTGCGTGGCTCAACGTCATGCCCTGCACCTGTTTGGTTGACGTTACTACGCTCGTTGACCTTTCGAAATCAGGTTTTGTCGAAAAGGTCATATTCCTGTTTTTGGCGAGCGTTTTTACGAAAAAAAAAGCAGAAGACGGCGGATTCGCCTGAACCTGGTTTTAGTTCTGCACGTAATTTATGAAGCATATTTGCAATGCAAGGTCTTGTAACGCAAAAAGGATCGCTTCAGGCAAAATAAAATAACTCCACAATGAGCTTTATTTTCATGGTATGGATTTCAATAGAAAAGTCCGGGGTCGGAGCTGGATTTGGAGTCGGAGTCAGTTTTTTAAGTCGGAGCCGGAGTCACCTGAAAATCCATCGACTCCGCAGCCCTGGTTGTGATACAAGAAAGGCACGGATGGATTAAATTCACATATCAGGCGATGCTCGATATTCTCAGGTCCAGTTTTTGCTCTTTTCGCTGGCTAAAACGCGCACTAATCGTGCGCGTTTCGTGCGTTTAATCGTGCGGAGAGTGGATTACTCTCCGGCCACGGAGACCGAGTGGATTAAAGCGCCGGAATTCGACGCTTAGCCGGTGGTGAGAGCCCGGTTCAAGCCCCGGTGCGGGCGGCCACATTTAGCTCCTACGTGTAATGGCGTGCGTGTCTGTGGCAGGGGCCGCACAGAAGCCAGGTAACGTGAGTGAGCGGAGGGGACCGTGTCCAGTCGTGAGGGCACGTTAAACGTTCGGACAAAATTCTGCCATACAACTGGAATTGCGCGATCGGGTGGTGGGGTCAGGGTCAGCACAACAAGCTATGCTTAGTGCGGGCTCTGACTCCTCAAATCCACCCATTCAACCATTCGGACTAAATTTATATAAAAAATACAAATATACAAATCAATAGATGCACCTTGATAGCTAAACTATGGATAAATCTCAACCCACAAAAATAGATTATCTGCAACTTTGGCGAACCGGTGATCATATTAATTGCCCGTTCTCGTCGCTGTCTTCCCCTTGCAACAATTTGCCCTTCAACACATCTGGAGGTACACCCACTAACCCCCCCTCGCTCCAGGGTTCACCTGCTGACCAACTGGACCACGGGTGAGCCGGTGGACCCCCTAACCCCCCCCCCCCCTTCGCTCCAGGGTTCACCTGCTGACCAACCGAACCACGGGCGAGGCGGTCGCCATGAAGGTGATCGACACTCGACTGCACGCCACTGTGTACGAACAGGCGCGTAAGGAGTTCACCATTCACCGCCGGTTAGAGCACGAGAGCATCATCCGCGTGTACGGCGTGCGCAAGGAGCTGCCGCTCATGTACCTGTTCCTCGAGTACGCGCCCGGCGGAGAGCTCTACGACAAAATCGGTACGTATGCCCACGCTAGTCACTGCTCATGATGGAATGATTAAACTGGCATGTCAAGATGCGAGATTCACCTGGGCTCCTGGGCTGCAACAATATGATATGTGCATTGCTTATTGCTTTGCCTTTCTCATTTTAAAACGCTATGGTAGGCTGGCGTCTGCCGCAACTCGCAGATGCAGAAGCTCCATTCTTACTTGGCACCCGCATTTGACTTGGTGGGTCAATGTGAACAACTGAACCTGATCCTGGCAGAAATATCTCTATACGCACTCACTGTTAATTTTCCAGGCTGTGTGCCATTTTCTCATCAGAGCGTAGTGCTGAGTTCTGTGTCCTTTTCTCCCTCCGGATCTGATGCCGAGCTGTGTCCCGTCCCTCCCAACTGCCCCTCCCTCTAAATGTGTCCCGGTCCTCCCTCTGAGCCTGACATTAAGCTATGTTTCTCTGTCCTATCACGTCTGACGCCGAACTGTGTGTCGCTTTTCCCTCCTGAAGTCTGACGTTGAGTTAGCTGTCCTATTTCCCGTAATATCTGTAGTCTGGCACCGAGCTGTGTGTCCTGTTCCTCGCTCCTAGTTTGACGTTGAGCTGTGTGTCCTGTTCCTCGCTCCTAGTCTGACGCCGAGCTGTGTGTCCCTCAGAGCCGGACGTGGGTCTGCCGCAGCTGGAGGCCCAGCGCTACTTCCGACAGATCATTGGAGGGGTGGTGAGTACATGAAACTCGTTTGCGAATTCACGAGGGATTGCGATTTGTGAATCGAAGATAGAGGTTATGTGAGGCCGAGATGCGTTCGGTCCTGTCTTTTTCTTTTGTATGTGATGTGCAAGAGAAACTTCCATGTTGTGATAATCGCCGACACTTCGAAGAAGGACGTTTTCAAGTTAAAGTTGTTTTGAAAAGACATTTTCATTTTCATATGTTTTGAATACCGCTACGGAAGGTCACTCGACTTATTTTGAACGCAGAGTTGAGGTTGGGCTTACTATGAATAAGCGTATCATTAATGAAATATGATATGAAATATGACATGGTCCACACCGGTCGCGACTTGCATCCTTCGTTCATGTCACGGTTCGCCTGCCCCGGAGAAGACTCAGCTGTCGGCGTCGTCTTTGGTAAGACCAGGATGCATGCGGGTTTCGGTTCATGCACTTGGGTTACCAACGGTGATGCTGGCGGCACTGCGTCAAGTCGAACCGGGGCGGGCGGCCGGATTGACATGGTGCTGGGCGAGTGGTCGGTCACAGCGCGCTTCGTCGCCAAGAGAGAGGGACTGGCTGCAGTGGAGAGTGAGAGAGGAGACGAGGAAACGCTGGTGCTGAATGGAAGACGGGATGAAGTCCGGAGATGAAGATAAATCAGCGTACTTGTTTACATAACGTGTTCTACGTGTTATTACGTCAATGCGGGTTAATGTCGGCATGCTCATACCAAAACTAATGATAATCACTATGCCGAAATTCGTATCGATAGAAAGATAGAGATAATCAATCCTTTGTTCAGAAACTAAGTGCACACCCGTTACTATGTTGGTCCTGCTAGATGCGACTTCGTGGAGTGATGTGATAACCTTTTCTCGGGTGCTGACGCATTGACCCCGTTTCAGGAGTACCTCCACCGGCTGGGTATCGCCCACCGCGACCTCAAGCCCGAAAATATCCTGCTTGATAACCACGACAACATCAAAATATCCGATTTCGGCATGGCCACCATCTTCAGACTGAACGGATCGGTAAGTTGAACGCCAGACATTAACGATCCTTTGCCTGGATAGTAGAAATTTAATTTAATGTAATTTAAAAAGCTTTAAGCCTCAAGATCATGTTGGTCGATGGTCCTAATTTCTGTGCTGCCTTTTTACATGGCTATAACGAAGTTAGTCTTCACGGCCATGATTGCTGGCGTGCCTATGCACCATTGAACAGTGTTGCAACCCGGGCTTTACCTTTACTCTTTGAACCCACTGACGTGTATCGCTCTTACCTTGCTCACCAGGAGCGTAAGCTGGACAAGCGTTGCGGCACCCTGCCCTATATCGCGCCGGAGGTCCTGCGAGGTCCCTACCGCGCCGAGCCGGCCGACCTGTGGTCCTGCGGGGTCATCCTGGTGGCGCTGCTAACGGGAGGTGAGTCGAGGGGCCTTGATGTAGGGCGTCCTGGAGTCATCTTGGTTTCGCTACTTATTGAAGGTGTGTCTATGAAGAGTGTATGAGACCTTTGAGGTAAGAATATTATAAATGTAGAAGGAGGAAAAGAAAACTTAGTCGTTTGGTTGAACTCAAAGAAGACGTTCTAGTGACGCGAATCCATTAAGAAGGCCATCAAGACAGCGTCACCTATTATCGCCACTGAGGAGCAGCTGCATCTGCAGCCGCTGCTACTGCTACTGCTTCTGCTACTGCCGCCGCCTCTTCATGCCGGGTGTGTCGTCTTTGGTGGTTTAGCTGTATGATTGCACTATAGAGTCATAAAGCTAGATCACCGGGGCGATACGCCCAGCCCGTCCATCGGTGCACGAAGGATCGAGCGGGACTTCTAGCGGCACCTTCCGTGGCAAGAACGGCTACGACGCCTATTTTTCACCAAGTGTTCGGCAACATTGTGTATTGCTTCGAGAAGAATGCATATAGGATGTGATAGCCGATAGTCATGCCGAAAATGTGCAAAATTGGTATTTGAGTCCTTTTATGATGCCAGTTTGAAGTGCATTGTTCGTTGTAGCTACAACTTATGCCTGCGATATGTCGACATTCTACCGTTTATCTTGCGTTAATCACCTATTAATGCTGCCAGGTTTAATTTTTTGACATTCATGCTGTTTTATGCGACATCCGTAGTAATTTGTCACCTCATACCCCTCCCCCCTCTCTCTCTCTCCGCCGACAGAGCTGCCGTGGGACGAGCCGACTCCGACGCAGCCCGAGTACCGCGGCTGGCGCGACGGCAAGATCTGCACCGCGCCCTGGGTCAAGGTGGACAGCCTGGCGCTGGGACTGCTGCAGAAGCTGCTGCAGCACACGCCGGCGCGGCGCGCCACCGTGCAGACGGTCCGCGAGAGCGCCTGGTTCAAACGCCGACTCCGGCCCGACGGTCAGTCCCGGGGAGAGGGAGGGTAAGGGATCATTTCAAAACGACAAAATAAAAATCCTTGGGCGGTGGAAGGGAAGGGTTGGTATTAGAAGACGTTGCCTGTTGAGTCAGACTGGTACATATGTGTAGCGCGAAGGAACCGCTGAATGAGGTAGTGATAGTTGGCGAATTTGTTACGCGTTGTGTCGGTCTGTCAGCGAGCTTTGCCTACTATCTTTTGCTCATTTTTTGAAAACCAGTAAATGTATCGTCCTAGCATTTTACGAACTCTCAGGTTTAGCGAATTGTTAACGCAAGGGGTGAAGTAGCGATTCTTCAATCTCACTTGTCTATGTCCGGCTACCAACCGATATCAACTACATGAATGCCTCAAGATTCACCAAGGCTGTATTGGACCGGCGACATCAACCAGCCCGGCGCCGCTCCCTGCTTTGGTATTCTGGCTTATGAGTGACTGTGACGTCATAAAGCTAGACTACCAAAGCAGGGCGCGGTGCGGTCTCCAGCTGGCGCGCCATCTGGTGATCACACACACCGTGCCCCGAGCGCGCCTTTGGTTACCTAGCTCCTATGGGTACTTTGGACGCCATAAAGCTAGGTTACCGAAGGTGTGATCGGACGCCAACCGACCGCCGGCGGCTGCAGCTGGGCCAGCCTGCTCAGCGGGATGGGAAGAGAAGGATAATTGTGGTGGTGAACGGCGGATGGTTTCGCCGAATGTGTCTTTTTATGTTTGAAAGGTGCAATATCTTCTTGCATAGTATCAGTTTTTTATGTGACTTAGGATGCGAAGACCGCGTGGTCATTATGTGCAATCTTTTGGGACGTTTTATGAAACTACCGAAGCCCATGGCTTGTTTTCGTCGCTTGCACCTGTATGTCGCTGTAGACTGACCACCGTGTCCCCTCTGTGCAGGCGAGCGGTGGTCGCTGGACGGTCCGCCGGCCAAGCGGCTGTGTCCGGCGGCGGCCGACGGATCGCCGCTGCACCCCTCGCTGCGGATGGCGTGCTCCCAGCCGGCGCCGGCGCTACGCGGCGACACGCCGCCGGCGCGCGCCGGGGCGGCCGATGACGTGCCGTCGTTCTCCCAGCCGGCGGCCGGCGCTGACGAGCTGCTGCTGGGCACGCAGTTCCAGAACACACAGCCCGGCACGGGAAGCAGCCAGGTGAGGGTCGTGTAGAACGGGGCCGCTGTCACCGTATAATGATCATTGATCACCATGAAGTTGTTATAAGGTCAGCTTAGTGTTTCTGAGTGTCAAATACGGTGAGTATAACGTTTTGAGCAGCTAACCACATTGGAAGTCACGAAAAGCAGAAAAGCATCGGTCTAAAATCGGTCGTGCACCGTTTCAATGTGCAGAGGGCGCAGAGGGCGAGGAGACTGTCTGTTGTCGCTAGTGTTCCCTGTCTAAAGATCTGCTCATCGGGACCTGTTTGAGCTGTGATGTGGTTGTAGAAATGTAGTCGAGTTTGAATCACAGCTGGTCAATTCATTAACAGCTGGCGGCCACCCCGCGGTGATGTGAGTTGTGACATGACTTTCAGTTGACCACTCAACCGTTGCTGCGTTTGCCACCGAATCATTCATGACAGCGTGAGCTTCGGCATCCTCTGTCTCACATATCCTCACAAAATTCGTCTGACAATAGCCGCACGACTGACCATCCGTCCCTCTCTGTGTCTCCCCAGACGCCGATGCAGAGACTGGTGAAGCGGATGACGCGCTTCTTCGTGACGACCAGCCAGCCAGAGACACTGGAGCGTCTGAAGGAGCTGTTCGACGGTTGTGGCTACACCTGGCGCTTCACCGGATCGTGCTCGGTCAGTGGCGGCGGGGATGGGAAAACACAGGAGTGATGGGGCGGGGAGTGGGAGGTTGGCTGGGGTCAATTATAATTATACCAGTTATAATATATATACCAGTAATTATACCACCTCTATCATGGATTATACAGGGTGAGCCATGAAGATTTGCCCATCGAAAATTTCACATTGTTTCAAGGCGAGCTGACATAGCTATGTCATCTTTTACATGCATATAACAACGTCACCTCCTGACTAATAAATGCAGTATGCTCGCATTCTTCTTATGTTACGCGCCCGAGACGCGAGAGCACTATGGCACGCGGCCGCCGCACCGTCGTTTCTCTTATTTTCCTCGATCACCCATGCTAGAACGCTGCTGCGCCGTATGTCACTTGCGGTGTTTCAGGGACTCGGTAGAGTAGGGTTTTCAGGATATTTCAGTTTGCGAAGCCCGTGGGGCTGAAGTCGGGGATAACTTGTGCCCAGCATTCTTTAGACCAAGGAGTGTTCAGCAGCCAACACCCAGTGGTGATTCCTGATTTTCAGGAGCGGCGGATGTGCGTTAAGACGACCTCGCATTTCAGGAGCGTAGCAGAGACAGTGGACGAGCATATACAAAATGAGCTACACTGTCAGGATTGGAGACAAATTTGCGACATATATGCTAAAGATGGCATTCCTACGCCTACCCGTTTGGAAATAAAGTGAATTTATCGATGGGTAAATCTCCCTTATGGCTAATGTGGGTTTCACGAGCTTATTTATTAACGTTTGCTGATCTTGCTGATCGTTTCTGGCTAGTAATCATGGTTTGATTATACGCCCAGCGCGGCATCTCTGGCACTGTAGCTTCGCGCTGATTGTGGGTAGCCGCTGACCAGTCTGTCTCCCCCGCCCCACAGATCACCGTCCAGACGTTGGACCGGCGAAAGATGCCGCTGACGTTCAAGGCCAGCGTGCTGGACATGACGGACCACGTGCTGGTCGACTTCCGGCTCTCCAAGGGCTGCGGTCTCGACTTCAAGCGGCACTTCATCCGCATCAAACAGAAGCTGCCGGACATCCTACTGAACGTGCCCGTCAACTGGTCGGTGGCGGCTGCGACCAACAGCGTGCCCTGACCGCCGCAGACGTCCCCCTGTACATACTGCGCCATCATCACCTTCATCATCCACTGTGTCATCCTCATCCCTCGGGTGGCAGGTCTGCCCGCATCCGATCTGATCTGAGGACCATCCGCCCGCCGGCGCGGCAGCAGCGGCGGCCAGTGTTTTTATCGCGAGTGAAATGCGGGAAAGGTGTGTGTTACTGATGGACTGTCATGGAAGTTTCGTTGGGTGCTTGTATTGCCATCGGGTGTTTGTAATTTTCGTATCGCGGGGAATGAGAGCGGAGAGGATTCTGCCGTTTGAGATGCCGGGAAGAATGCATAGAATGTTAATGTCCGCGCGTGATCGGAATGAGGTGTCGCCTGCTCGTAGCAGAGCCCCTCCCCGCGCTACTGGCTATCTGAGGAGTTGGTGCCTGGAGGCAGCTGTTAGATGAACTCACTGCCATCATTCCTCTCGCCGCGCTGAACCTCCGCCGCGGAGTATGTACTGTCTGTGTGCGCCGGGTCGGCTGCCCTCCTCTCGAGCTGTGATCTGTACCGTACCGCGCCGGACCGCCGGTCCCGGCACCGCTGTGTCCTAGCTCAGGAGCAATATACTTCGCCATGTTGAACAATCGTGCTCTGTGTGTGTGGATGCTGATGAGAGAATGTGAGAAAGTTGAGCGCAGAGTAAATGCCCGAATTAGTCGAGCTTGACACAGTGAAGACGAGTGGCTCTCAGAACCAATCCTTAGTGACGCTTAGCGATATGCCATGGTTCTGCCTAGACTCCTAGTCAGCTAGAACCTATCCGTTGTCTGTTCGCAGATCCTGTGTGATCCTCGCTCGAATCAGGGTCTTGTCGAAACAGCTGGCTGCGGTGCTGCCACCTGTACGGTCAGCCAACACTCGATGCTATACCGTGTCGCCTTACGGCCCGTCAGAGGGCCGGACGGCAGGCAGAGAGGAGAGATAGAGCATTGATCCCTTGAGCAGAGTGACATTACCCGGGCGGCGCTCATCTCGGCGAGTGGTTCAGAGGGCGGGAGGTGCGAGTGACCGGCCGGGTGGCAACAGAAGGGTCTGGGGGTGAAGGGGTGGTGACCGAGCAGTCTGAAGGAGATAAGTGTGTAGGACTGGGGAGGTTGACAATGAGATGTGATTAGGCGTGAAATTTGAGCTGATGTGGCCGGCGTGTTATCAGTGTGACTGACTGAAAGTGATCAGCGCTGTGACTTAACTGTGACATACAGGACTAACGCCTTGCTGGACGTTCTATGGAAGGGGAACGCCGAACGGCACTGGTCGTCTGCTGCTTTCCTTGATCTCTACTAGCGGCCAGCTGAAGTCTGATGCGTCTCACGTCGTACATCGTTGTTTGACGAGTCGCCTGGAAGACGAAGACGCTCGCGGTGATCCTGAGCTACGGACAACTGGAAACCCAGCTAAATACCCGAAATGGTATCAACATGCCGGGGTCTGCTCTTACTGCCTGTCCTCGCTCTTTTGATCAGGTGAGCCATGTCACCGTCTTCTTTCTGGAAATCTACGTATTCTCAGTTTCAGAAAAGCGCGTGTTCAGTCCCGCCAAATGAGTTCGGCTGGGTCGGTTTTCATCTGTTCTACATATATCGCGACCTCTTAATCCTGAGCTAAGCCGAGTGGAGATAACTTTTTTGCGTCCCGCGACCCAACACCGAAGAGGACAACTGAGTCCAAGAGTGTTTGTCACGATCGTTCACCTTGCTTAGTGTAGTGTCTGACGCCACTTTGTCTCTGTTTCAGTTGTGCGCACACGCAAGTCGGCATAGCCACTCCTGATTTGGGCAATGTGACCAAGACCATTTACCGGCTACTTACTGGCTACGATATTCGCCTGCGACCGAATTTTGGAGGTAAGTTTCGATTACGAGCATCACCAATTAGACAATTACCCACAGCATTCTATTTCTTTACGCAGCGGGCTCCGCTGTTAGGGAGATAAAGTCACTGGAGGCCGTGTGGTGCGCATGTTTCAAAATTTTAGGCTTCGTGGGCGAGAGACCCTAACTCTAGTCTTTGGACTCAACCCGTCAGGCTCATGTGTCTATCTGGTCATTTCTAGTTAAAGTTATGTCAGAATATACTACTTAATTTGTTTCGAGCCTAACAACGTTTCCTGTGTCCAGATTTGCTCATATCCTATGTCATTTCTCCTCTATGATTTCTCCCCTAATCTTTCCCGACCATTAACAGCGTGCTAACGACTATGTAGTGGACCGTTTCCAGTCCATTACGGATGACCAAATAACAGGCCGGGACGCCCGAGGAGATCAGCCTAGGTCAGCTGCATCCCCAGTCGACAGGATCCACCCCTCACCGACCCCTCTCGCCCCTTTCTAGGCTGACTCCTATGCACTCCGATTCTCAGAAGCGCAAAGCGTTTTCCTGTGAAACCCCCGCTGCTAAAGGCCTCCTTGCGCCGATGGTCCGTCTGGCTGGCTGTGCGCCGGTGCTGAATAGCAATGCCGTCATGATTGCGACATTAACCGGTGGCGCCGAGCCAGGGCCGTCATCACGGGCGGTGCGCGATGCCAGCGCCCGTCTAACGACGCCGTGCGCCGGGGCAATAAACGACCCCTTGCCGCCAGGGCGACGCACGTCATTTGTCCGGGACATGATTTGAGCGTGTAGGAATATCGCTCGGTTATATGAGTCAGTAAATCGAAATGAGGAATGAACCGCTTTGGAATATTGGATGTGCTTTGGATAGTGGAGAATGAAGATGCTCATTGCTCATGAATGTAGAGATAACACTTTATACTGATTCATTTATGTTTTCTACGTGGGATAGTCCCTATGACACTGCCCCAAAGTATTGTATTTGCAGACTTTCCCCATGCTCCTTTTGAGTACGACGTTTCCAGGACGGCCGCTGCAGAGCTGACCACTGACGAGTGCCACCGTATCTGTTTTCAGGACAGCCGCTCTACGTGGGGATGGAGCTGAACATTGCCAGCTTCGACTCCATATCGGAAGTGAACATGGTGAGTGCCGAGATGGATATTCCGGAATCCACGGAAGGTTATTGCGCTCCACATTTGAGAAATGCATGGTTGAGTTCAAGCTTAGATAAATGTGCGTCACATTTTATATCAGTCTTTCGTTCTAAAAACACATTTTAGAATGGAGCTTAGTTCTGAATCCAATGATTTTGAATAAAGGACTTTAATCATGAATAAAAAGCCCAAAAGCCGCAAGTTGCGCTTCTCGTTTGCTGTTCGTGAAGTATCAAGCCCGTATTCACCCGTTTTCTAGAGGCTTATGCAGGTGTATTTATCGGTTAATTACATACTTGTAATTAATTACATCTATACTAAATCGTGTGATTTAGTATAGTTGTACGGGAAATCAATGGAATAAGGGTGAAGTGAAATAAATACGGCCATTATTATTAGAGTAAATAATATGTTTTCGATATAACGATTGAAGTAATTGCTCTGTTGATAAGCTTATCACAACGGTCATTTCAGCTTGTCAACTGTTTGTTTGAGAGTTGGAATCGGAATATACCTACATGCCAAATCATTTGTAGCTGAGCATGCCTAAGCTAACGGCCTAGCTAACATGGATGCCATTACAGACAACATTATGGATATGTCGATGTTCGGTACGTTTCGTTACATGGAAGCGTTTGCGTTTCCAGGAAGAAGAGTTTTCCGTTTCATCGACCCATGCAATGCTATTCGTTGGGGTCTAAGTAGTTCGCTGAATTTGGTTTAACCAGTGGCCACACAGGCCAGTGTGTTTGGGAAGGCTGTAGTACACCTTTTTTCATTGCGAGTCGGCATAGATTCAATTGACCGTAACTATAGGCGGCCCAGTTCGGTAAATGAGCATTGTGTTAGACTTACTTTGGACTGTTCGACAGTTTTCATTTCGTTAGTTTATCGGCTGTTCATTTTCGAACGATGTCACAGTATATCGACAAGGGCATTTGATATCGACGCTGACGATAGATTTAGTCTTAGGTCACTTGATTTAGTCGCTTTGCGATTGAATTAGGCAATACAAAATGGATTTCGTTAACGTATAATTTGATTTTTATATTTGTATTTTTCATCAGACGATGAAAATATTAGGCAAGTGTTTTTGTGTTGATAAACTCATGAAGTATGTAGCAAACTGACCACGTGGCGTCATAGATACATCCTTTACACTTGAACTTCTACTGGTTCCCGGTAGGCTAGGTGACCTCAAGCCAGGTCAGTGTGCTTGTGTCATTTGTTATCAAGATGCCGAGCCGCCGCCATACAGTTTGTGCCGCGGACTGCGAGAGAATAATCCAAGCGGTGGCAACGATAACGTTGCTGTGGCCCGCCAGTTGAGCGCAAAGAGGACGACCGGCTGGTCCATCGTGGCAAAGTGGACGCGTACCGGGGAGTTTGCTGCACGGAGGAGAGGGGGCAACCGACCGAGGAAGCTGGATGACGACATGACCGACTTCTACCTGATGCTGATTGACGACGACCCGAACAACCGGCGCCTGTCTGGCCAGAGAGGGATCTGGGCCCAGTGACCGCACCGGCGCGGCGACCATTGACCGCTGTGGAGCGTTCAGTTGTGTGCATTTATTTTGCTGCTTGTGTTCATTGTTATTGCAGTGTTACGTTTTGTTTTTTATGTGGCATGGCCATTGGCCATACACAAATGAAATTTTGTTTATCATGTTGCATTTTTTACCAGAGGCATTTCAAGCCGATGAGCCATTACTGTGGATTGAAATGATTCGTTAGCTGCATATATTTATTTGTTTAATAAAATATACTTGTATTAAAACCAAATTGTGTTGTATCGTGCAGTGGGACTAAAAAATAATTCTATGGTGTTTTACGCACGTGTTACCAATTCATTATCTGCGAATATTTGTAGAGACAGGCCGCAAGTTCAATCAAATCAAATACAGTTATGGGTATGTCGATTATGAATGCTCAGCTCATACTTGATTATGTATACGATGAAGTTGGATAAAATCGTAAACGAAATTAAAATACCTTTGTCAAAATTGATTCACGCCCGTCTATATCAGATGGACGTTGTCATATTCAGTGCACTATGTCTAAATCCACTGAACAGTGTCGAAATTGCGCACACTGCCTATTTTCAATGCCCCTTATCGTGAAGGCGCGTTGTGTCGATGGGAGGCGCACAATGTCGAGAGAGCACGCCTGTTGCCGGCTTAAATGAAATAAGTCTATATGACCTGCACAGATGCCGACTCGCAATGAAAAAAGGTGTAATGAGAAGTTGTGTGGTTTTCAAGGCCTACTGACCTGCTCATTCACACCTACAGAGTATGAAATGTGCAATGCGTTCCAAGTGAAATTTGAAACTTCATGAACAAATGTTGTATTTCATTTTTCACCGAGTTGTTAAGCATCTGATCTTTGCTTCATTGGTGACCCATTTCAAAGGTGATAATGAAAATGATGAAAGTCTAGGTCGATATGGATTTATCGTAAAAAAGCGCCGCCGGTAACGCCACAGCACCGATCGACCACCGACTCTGGTGTATGTGTGTATGGAGGGAGGTGGCATTGGTCGCCCTTTGTATGCACCACGGACAGGCTCGATAGACCCCCCCTCCCCTCCATGCCTACTCCACACCGTTGCCACCATGCACCCCTGGAGCACAGGGGGGGGGGGGGGGCGGTCATGTGACCCGGTGACAGCCCAGTCGGGTGCTCGCCCGCGGGTATATAAGCAGCGGCCGGCCGGCGGGCGTCATACGATCACGATGCGTCTCTCCACCGCGCTGCTGGTGTGCGTGTGCCTGGCAGCCCTTCTGCTGGCCGCAGAGGGCCGGCCGCAGGTGAGCAACCGCCTCCCATTACCTGATGTCTCACCTAATTTATCCAATAGAAAATAATTCTAACGTACTTTTCACACAAGAATCGGTCTCAGTCATATTCGTTTGAATAAATCGCAACTGGAAAGTTTGTTTCGGTTTTCATTCAGCATGTCTATCATTTTTTTATTGAAAGCAACTCTTTAATAAATTGCATGCGGTGCCTTTTTACCGATGATGACATTCATTTTGAGTGTTCCGTTTTAATTGTCGCGACTGCGGCTTCCATCAGCTTGGAGAATGTTGTGCTGCTCTTTCCAGTACAGAAAATTAAAACGGACCTCAAGCCGTCAGAAGACAATGATTTCAAAAACGTGCATATTATTAAACCTTTGCCTATTTCATATTTGCTTATGTTTTACAATGAGAGCAACTAAACCGTCTTCTGCCGCTGATTGTGTCCACTATTTCGCAGCGTCCCGGCGGGCGGCGGGCCAAGCGCCTTCGGCCGGCCCGGCAGCAGGGCGGCGCCGGTAGTTCCTCTGAGGAGGACAGCGCGGGCTCCTCAGAGGAGCAGGGAGACGCTGCAGACGCCCCGGCGTCGGCGCCGGCCGCGCCCGACACCGACACCGACGCCGACGCTCCGACCGACACGGACGCTCTGCCTCTGACGTCCGGGAAGCTGCGCCAGGGACGGCGCGGTCGGGGCCGCGGCGGGCCCAGGTCACAGCGCCGCGGCGGCGAGGAGACAGATGGAGACGATGACGAGGAGGGAGCTGAGCTGGACGACTCGGAGACACCGGCTCCTCGGCAGCGCGGCGGGCAGAGGCGCGGCGGGCGGGGACGGCGCGGCGGCGGCGGGCGCAGGCGCAGCGGTGGTGGGCGCAGGAGGCCGCGTCCACCGGTGTCGACCCCGATACCGGGTGACGATACCGACGGCACCACCCAGCCGGAGACCGAAGTAGAGTTGCCGTAGACGGCGGGGCAGCGACCACGTACAGCGACACCACCACAGCTGCTGAGACGTTTAGAATCTGTCTGTGTTGTACTAGCGCGGTGGCTGTAGCACTTTGAGCCTTTGATAAATGCGCAATGGAACAGAGTCACAGAACAGAGTCAGAGAACAGGTAGTCACTGTGACTTTCGTGGATGGCGGATGACTGGGACAGTCTCTCAGTGCCTGTAACTGTTCTGTTCGTCATTGAATGTACGCTGTCGTCTTCGTGAACATGTGATAAGAGTTTTTGCACTCTGCCTCATTCGTTAGACTTAGGATTGATCGACGCCAGAGTCTGACACCATTCCATTTTAGTTTATTTTCTGTTGTAGTTTGTTTCTGTTGCATCCGAGCTAGTAGTCCAAAAATGTTCATTTTGTGATAAATGTTTTTTTTTCGCCAAAAACTAGTGACAAGCGCTCTTTGCTTGGAACGTATGGCCTCTTATCTGTACTGTCATGTGGTTTACGAGATGCGTCCCCTAAACTGTGATCGACTTGCACAAAACACGGAGAAATAAACGACAAAAACATGCTCAGTGGTTGGTTTGCAGAGACGCCTTCCTACTCTTACTACTACTTGCTTACGAGTTTGGCCTATTAGCCCGCGCCCTGCTGGGGGGGGGGGGTGTTTGAACACCCCCCCCCCTTGTGGTTTTTCGCGAATATCTCAAAAACGGCGGCGCGGAGCGCCGCCGTTTTTGGTACACCTTATCATACATCAATTCTACACATGTAAAAATTTCAGACCAAGGTCATTCAAGGTCAGGTCACCAGGTCACTTGAAGTGACCTCACCTCATAAAAAGTTTCAATGTCTGTCATAGCTACACCGAGTGACCGATCGCTTTGAAACTTTCAGCGATTGCTAAGAGCAATAGCATGTACAAAATGTATATCTCAGAATTTTGATATCGATGACCTAAGGTCAGGTCAATTTTGCGACCTCCCTATTATAAGTCAATGGGAGAAAATTGAAATGCGCCTCTTTTGGACGAAAAACATTATAAACACTCCCAGACACCGAATTACAAGTAGTTTAGACACACTGAACATGAAAATGGTGTCCGTGACCCTTGTTTGTGCCCTGAGGTCATCTTAGGTCACGAATGGTATCTAACAGTTTTTCGCAAATAACTTTTGATAGAGGCATGCTAGAGCGATGAAAACGCCTTATATGTGTTCAGCTCGACGATACGGATCGACTGATATGCAACATGACCCTTTCCGATCAGGTCATGACCTTGACCTGAGGTCAAATTTTCAAGTTGACCTTTCAAGGTCAAGTTATAGTTCATTCGATGCGTCTTGACAAGAGGAACACGATGCCGGTGAAAGTAAGCTCGTACAAGGCTTGGGTCAAAAGTTATTGCAGAAAAACTGTTTCCGAAAAAATCGGTTATTTTTGCAGTTTTGCCCACTGCAGGCAAAACTGTTGACGTTAGGTCAAATCTGAGAGAATTACTCAGAAAGGGCGTTAATAGGGCTATCGAATGCACTTTTCCGCGGCGCTGTAGCTCTATTGGTTCCCGAGTTATGCGTTGGCTTCTTGGAAATTTTCGCCATTCGACCTGGAAATCGGCGAAATTTTGCCTTCAATGACCTCTGGTGACCTGACCTTTGACCTGACCAAAAAGTTGACCGAAGTGATTTCGTCTTTATTTTTACGCTCTTTCGAACGCCGCCTTCCGCGTATCGCTACGTGGCCCAGGAGCCGAGTTACAAGGGGGGGGGGGTTCAAACACCCCCCCCCCATGGGCGGCGCCACCGGGGGGGACGGGGGGGACAGGTCCCCCGCTATCGAAAGTTAGGGGGGTACAGTACCCCCCTATCGGCGAGGCCCGTTCAATAGTTGATAATAATGCATTGTAGAGTTATCCGTCGCATTTAATGCATCGTTGGTTAATCAAGGCAGGTTCTGAATAAAGATTGCTGTTGGGATGTATCGCAGGGGGTCCTGGCCATCTGCAAAAGGTGTGGAGCTGTGATGCCTGTAGTTATAAGGTGATCGGCAGGGCCTCGGGGATCGTGCCCCCCTTTTTGGGGCGCCAGGCAGGGTTATTACCTCCCCACCCCACTGCCAGACCCCATTGCCGACAAAACCAAGTTTACTGAAATTCCATAGATTACCGTTACTATATGGATATTTTCCATTCCTCATTAGTCAAATTCAAGCATAGCAGTTCTACCACAGGAGCCATTTGAAATCTATGCCATTTAACCCCAGCACTTGTGGGGAGAAGTGTTCGGATAGATCACAGGCAGGACCAAAAAAGCACGCAATAGCCCAAGACCATATAATTGGGTAGCATCGGCTCCCTCTCGTCAAGGGGTTCGAGAGCACTTGTTTTTTTATGCAAAACTAAGTTCGGTCGGCGGCCGAACGGCTGGGGGTCTAATCGAGCCCCCCCCCCCTCCCCTTATTACGTCAGCGGCTGTGAAAATGCCATTACCAGCTGTTGAAACATGGCAGTTGCTTTTGCATGAGTGCGCGAAAGGGTTTTAGGTACGTGATACGTGAAAGGTTCTACATGAAAATTGAGGTACACCAGCTTATCAAATTGTGCTCACTGTGGTGCGCTCGGTTTTGCCTTGACTAGTCTTTGAATTCTGGGGTGAAACAGACCAGTCAAGAAACCTGTTTCATAAGGAGAGCCACTCATGCTAAAGAGGTGAGGGATGAGGTTTCCAGAGACCTTCATTACCACCATAAAGGGGGTGCCCCGCCATTTGCTAATCCCTGCTGTAGTTGGTACGATTGGAGGGTGAATATGAGGACGATGCAGGTCGTGCCAGCTCGATCATGACGAACACAATGATGCCGACATCACAGCTCTACTGCCATTATTGACGAAGTTAATCAACAAGGACCGGAATCCTACCCTGGGGCATTTTACCTGCAGAGGTCGCCGAACCTGAGACCCTTTCACTCAATGTTTTTTTTTAACGGTGCATGCGCTCGTTTTTCCCGCGAAGCTCTTGGTAAGTAAAATCCATCAGAAAGTGTGATCAAATAACGGCTGGTGACCTTCCATGACCTAGCATGACCTTTTGAGTGACCACCGATGACATGACCACTGACGGCTAGCCATTAGCTGCACCCTGCCCGTTGCGTGGTGATGTCATGATTCTGAAATTATATTGCAGTTTTGGCGCACTTGTCAGAGCAGAAGACATTCCCTCTTTTCCTCCATGACTATGGTGAAGCCATGAAGCTGACCAGATGTAACGTGGCGTCCCTCGTGCTTCGGTGAGTGCCGGGTCAGATGCTACACAGACGTAAGATCGAAAATTTGAAAGAACGAAACGTAAGAATAGTTGGCACTGCTACTCATACCTAAGCAATTCGCAGCTTGTAGGAAACCAGCTTTGAGTTGGCAAGACTGCAAATTTTGATTTAGAGGCAAGGATGCTTGAAAAGGTGATCGATCTTCGGTCCCCGTCCCCCCCTATCGAAAACCCGTGGCGCCGCCCCTGCCCCCCCCCCCCCCCCCCCAGCAGGGCGTGGAAATCCAGGACCCCCAGCCGGGCGCGGGTTAAGAACAACGGGAGACGCATTATGAAATTAGACAACCAGCTACATTTTATTATTACAGTCATGGAGTTGAGAAGACGATTATTCATTATATGAATGGCGTTTTTCGCCATCATATAACATGCAAGTTGCGCACTATCACAGTGGGCCAGGCGCTTCAAAAAAGCGGAATTAAATCAATGAGCACAGCTGCGGTGCCAAAAATGATTCGTTACAGGGTAAAATATCATGCTAAAGCCGAATCCGATATCCATTTTCAAATTTGATTGGTTACGCTAGGTCACTGACCTATGATGTCATTATTTAATTTCTGCGCTGCACATATGTCTGGGACAGGCGGGCACTATGCCGCATTGGCCGCGCGTTTGCAGTCTTTTCGTGGTTTCAAGCGTTCAAAAATGTGATATGATGTTGGTCCCATGCTTTAGGGTGGGTGTAAAGGTCACCTGAAGGTCAGGTCAGGTCATTGACCTTCGATGACCTCGGTTCACTTTTTCGAGTTTTCATGTTTCTGGGCTAGTTTTTGGAGCTGAATTCGAATTTAGGAACCATTTGAACATTTACGAAGTAGTTTTGGTGCCTTCGTAACATGTTACGAAGCTGTCAGAGGCGGGTTGACACCTACTACGAATACCCGGCAGGACCCATACTGGTTGACCTGACCTGAGCTGACCCGACCTGGCCTAAATGCATGAAGACATCATCTGTGATCAAAACTAACATGATATTCGTGATCAGCATCCCAAAAAAAAACCCTTAGCAGCCACACTATACGACGTTCTAACAGGTCCCGACTTTCGGCCATTGACCTGACCTCACAGGTCACCATTTGACCTATGACCTTGAGACCGGGTACCGTTGGCTTCGTCTCGTGACGACCTACACGATGGTTTTTTCCGCGAGGCTCTAGCTCAATTAGGGGCCAAACGCGAGGAGGGTCGCATCCCCCTGTGCCGTCGAGGGATGCAAAACGGCCTATGCCGGCGAGGGTTAAACCCTTATTTGTCCATTTCGCGCAAAAATGCGCAAAATATTTGCATTGGGCAGCAAGCTATACACCTTGAGGAAAGTCAGGCAGCAAATATCTTCGTGTTGTTCGGTGACGTTTTCTTTATATCCTTATATAAATTCATTGCGTCGTTGCACTACCACGGTTCCGAACAGGCACTGTAAACCCCACCGCTACTAGTAAGCATGAAATAGTTACCGGGAACTTGAGTACGAGAAACATGCGCAGAAATACCGGCTGTTTTTTTAAAGCTATTTTGTACGGAATAACTTTAATGATTTTACGCTGAGAGCTTTTGAATCGGGGGAACGGAAAATGGTACACAGCAGTCATTTCCATCTCCAGTCGGTAAGTCCTACTTTGCGACGTTATAGCATTATCTGCCTTGACATTGGGGAAAGGAAACTTGCTTATTCGGAAACTTTGGACATTTTTACAATACTCTATCCCATAATTACAGGAATTTCACCGAAGTTGATTTTCGACTTAATTCCGCTTTTTTGATGCGCCTGGCCCACTGTGTATTAGGCGCTTCAGCCCTGCGCTAAAGCAGACATCATCAATGGATTCAGAGAAACAAATTGAATTGGATCAGTGCTGCTGCAGAAAACCGACTTTGAAACATTGGCTTAGTTGATGTACGTTGAACGGCAATACGATTGCGGCAGAGTGCGGGAAAGGGGGCGTATGACGTGACCGTCTTATCCCGATGTGTCTATATCACTCGGCTTTGACCGCGGTTACTCTTCCCTTTTACCATAACGCAGGGCGTGTGCTGACAGGATTACACCATCACCATGTACCTGAACCAGTACTGGAAGGACGAGCGGCTCTCGTTCAGCAGCACAGACGACGTGTTGACGCTCTCCGGTGACTTCGCCGAGAAGATTTGGGTGCCAGACACGTACTTCGTCAATGATAAAAACAGGTAATTGTTTTTGTTATCTTATATCCAAATCCAAATCACTTCGTTTTGAGCTGGGGGTATCAGTGCTGTTTGTTTTTACATTCGCCCGTACTGGCCTTTTACGACGTCCAACGGGCCCGTCCTTATGCCCTCATAAAACTACAGCTCCTCGAAAAAAGGAGCATGTTGCCCGTGACGGGAGGAAACCGATGATTTGAAGGTCCTAGGTCATCGGTTGACCCTTCGGGTCAGGTCAGTTACCCAAAAGTCAGGAAAATCGGGACCAGCTGTTAGAACTCTGTGCAGTGTTGTTATGGATTTTTTTTTCGGGGTGCTGATTACGAAGCTAATTTAGTTTTGTTAAAATGATGCATAGTCGTGCCTATGGGGTAGGTCGGGTCGGGCCAGGTCAGGTCAACCAGTATGCGTCCTACCGGCTATCCACAATAGGTGTCAACCATCACCGACAGTTTCGTAACATGTTACGTACTACGTAGTACGTAGGCACCAAGACTACTTCGTAAATGTTCAAATGGATTCGCAATTCGAAATCAGTTCCAAAAACTACCTTAGAGAAATATAAAACTGAAAAAGTGAACTAAGATCATCCCAGGCCCTTGACCTGACCTTCACGTGATCTTGACACTCACCATAATGCCATAATGTATTAGACAAACATTATTTCACATGTTGGAACGTTAACATTAAAAAAAGACTGGAAACGCGCGGAAAATGTGCGCTGTCATACCTACGCCGAATCGCGATTCCGGCCTGACATGGTCTCAAGAAACAGGGCACAGGTCAAAGATTATTCGGTTCAGGGTTATGCAATTTTTAGGGTAGGTATAAAATTGATAAATTCGAGGCTAGGCTACTGAAAGTTTCGTCGGGATGCGCAGCTTTTTGCGCGAGTTCGCGAAAAAACATGGGGTGTTTCGCTCGACCCCTCCCCTTTAAATGCGAGGGTTAAAACAATTATCTTTTGGATAGTCCGATATTTTTGTGTAACTGACTACAACTTACGTCTTCGGCAGCTACCTGCACGATGTGACGGAGAAAAACAAGATGGTGCGTCTCCATGGCGACGGGAGTATCACATACGGGATGCGCTTCACGACGACGCTGGCCTGTATGATGGACCTGCACAACTACCCGCTGGACAAACAAAACTGCACCGTGGAGATCGAGAGCTGTCAGTGAGCCTAGGGGGAGGGGAGAGAAAGGGAGAAAGGGAGGGAACAGTAAACGTCCCCAGTCCATAGACAATTGACCCTGCAGGTCTTTGTCATTTGTAATAAGTCTGAAGCTGTTAAGTGCTGAGCTGAGAGCTGAGCTGATACTTTATCATCAGCGACATCGTCTAATTTGCATCTTGTGATGTACTAGGCGTGTGCGTGTCAAACCGCGACACAGAAAACAGCGACCGTAAAACAGCGACTGGAAAACAGCGACCTACAGGGTGAGCCATAAAGCTTTACCCATCGAAAATTTCACTTTGTTTCAAGGCGCGCTGACATAGCTATGTCATCTTTTACATACATATAACAACGTCATCTCCTAACTAATAAATGTAGTCTGTTTTCTGTATGCTCGCATTCTTCTTATGTTACGCGCCAGAGACGCGAGAGGAGCACTATGGCACGCGGCCGCCGCACCGTCGTTTCACTTATTTTCCTCGATCATCAATGCTGTAACAATGCTGCACCGTATGTCATTTACGGTGTTTCAGGGACTCGGTAGAGTAGGGTTTCAGGATATTTCAGTTTGCGAAGCCCGTGGGGCTGAAGTCGGGGATAAATTGTGCCCAGCATTCTTTAGACCAAAGAATGTTTAGCAGCCAACACCCAGTGGTGATTCCTGAATTTCAGAAGCGGCGGGTGTGCGTTAAGATGACCTCCCATTTCAGGAGCGTAGCAGAGACAGTGGACGAGCATGTACAAAATGAGCTACCTGTCAGGATTGGAGACAAATTTGCGACATATATGCAAAAGATGGCATACCTACGCCAACCCGTTTGGAAATAAAGAGAATTTATCGATGCCGGTAATTCTTTATGGCTCACCCTGTACTCACAATAGCGACAGTGTCTATAGCGACTCTCAGAACAACAACACACAGACTTGAGCGATTCCTCAAAAGGGCGACGGGTTATAGAGCGACCGTGTGAAATAGCGACTATAAATAGTGTAAAACAGCGAGAAAAGTCATAAGTAGGCGTTTGACATAGGCGTTTTACTTAAAGTTGATCAGAAGGAAGGTAAGTACATACGCGGAAGATACTGAGTCTGGACGAAACCGCACCTGCCGGTGTCACAATTCAGTGCAAGCAAGGCAATAAGTGTGCGCTGCCGTGGGATGACTTATTTGCTGCGGTGCCTATGTAAATGCAGGCGTCAAACCGCTCATTGAACACGTCCTCACGTAAAATATGAAATAAATGAACGATGGGGGGGGGGACGTAACCACATTCCAAATCGTCACTACGCAGCGTCGGATTGGCTGTCATTGTACAGCGCTGCATCTGACGCATTCATTTGGATGCGCCACCGGAACCTGACCACTGACCACGCTTGCATAACGACAATGCCAGCTCTGCGGTGATGCTCCGTATCACAGCCGCGGGCGGTGGCGGCAGATGTAATCGAGGGGTCGAGGAGTCGGGAGAGCAGCAGCGCCGCGGTGCCAGCTCGTGACGCCGTGACGTTACGTAGTGACGCCGTACTGCGAACGATGGGCGAGGGATAACGTTCCCGGCATGTCCGCACAATTGATGATTCACCCTTTTGCTCTCACTGGGCTTATGTCATTAGTGCCACTACGGTTATGTAAATGAATGTAGGTACAAAAGTTATCTCATTTCACAGGGTCGACAGAACTGGCATTCATTAGTTCCTAGAGTTAACCCTCGCCGGCCGAGGGGGGGGGGGCGGGTGCCGCCCCCCCATAGTTTTTTTTTTCGCGATAGCTCCAAACACGCTGGCGATAGAGAGCGGAACCTTGGCATACATGACCTTTGATTCAAGCCGGATCTTTTGACACCAACTGCATTTTCGGGTCAGGTCAGGCCACTGACCTATGATGTCATAAGTGAACCTCTGCACGGTCTTCAAATGTCGCAACTTCGCAACGCCCTCACTGCCAGAGGAGCTTTCACAGGGAAATGAAACCTGCAGGATCTAATATCAATTACGAGTCTCACAACGTGTATATCTTGGATTTTTCCAAAAGGTCATATGAGGTCAGGTCATTTTCGTGACCCCACCATTACAAGTCAATGGGGAAAAATGAAAACTGCTTTTCTGACGCCGGGAACGATCTACAACTATCTCAAGCACACAGAATCGTGATTTGATGCCCTCCTTGCAAGGTAACATGTGTCACTTTTGCAATGTTGACCTTGCGTGACGTCATTTATTACGTCATTAGGGTCATATTAGTTTTTCGTCAAAAACTCCCGATCAAATTGAGCTAGCGAGTCGGGAAAGCCACCAATGGACTCCGGAAGACCTGCTGAATCGAATGATATGCGACATGACCTACTTCGACCAATTTCGTGACCTGGGGGCGCTGACCTGACCGTGACCTGAGGTCAACACCCAAAGTTGACCTCACCCAAACAAAAAGTATATCCTTCGACGCGTCTGAGCGAGGCGGACACGATGCTGCCGAAGTGGGTCGTACCCCCCCCCCCTCGGCCGGCGCGTATGTAGAAAACCAATAGGTCCGGCGAGGGTTAACTCGAAACACAAGGTAAAAGTTTGAATAAAACGAAACAAAATATTGGGAATAGGTTACTAATCGCCGGTAAACTGAAGTTGGAGCAGGGGGTCTGGATTCATGGCCACCAACATGAAAGTTGAGCTTCGATCTCGACCTTCGCGTTGCTGTAACCCATTTCCATTATCCCCGGCACGGTTCACCGTGCTGCGCCCAGGACCGTGGCCTCCTGGAGCTACGGCCAGCCTGCCACGATCGGTAGGCTCGGCCCACGACCCGTGGGGCATGGACCAACCACCGCGGCCCGCCCGCGTATTGAGCGCCCTGCAGCAGTGTTTGCACTGCCCAAGGGCGGCCGATGAATGCAGACACGTTGATGGCCGTTGCCGTCCACTGTGACAGCGAAGATCAATGCCTACTCAATGGTGGTCCACACCGTGCAGGGCCGTCGACCCGCCCGTCCCTGGAAACGGTACACACTGCGGAATAACGTAACGTCAGCACGGAGGTCTGTGTTGGTGGTAACCGGGTATACAGACCCACCCCCGGCGCCCGCCGGTCATCACTCACAACGGCCGTGTTTGGGTAAAGAGGCGACATTCGCTGAATGCAGTTACTTGGGTACAATGCGATAGTTTTGCATTTGTTGATATGCTATGTGCAGCGAATACCGGGAATTCACAATCGACTATTGTAATGAGCAAAGGAACCATCAAGCAGCCTCAATGAAAGCAGTTTTTTCTGGAATTGTTAACACTTCTTTTGTTCGACTGTCTCCCCGAAAAAGTTCCACTTCCCTCCCCTCCTCGTGCGGCCGGTGACCTTGAATTGATCCTTCCTTAGTGACGGCCGCTAAACGTCCATCCCACAAAAGACCCTTCCAAAGCGCCGGCCGATGCTCCCGATCTCTCTTTTGACCGCTCCAAACACATCCGACCCTTCCTATTTCACCGCCTCCCCCCCCCCCCCTCCACCGCCAGACGGCTACACGGTGAAGGACGTCGTCATGTACTGGAAGGAGACTCCCGTGGTCGGAGTGGAGGAGGCTAAACTACCTCAGTTCACTGTCCTCGGTTACGCCACTACCGACCGCACCGAGCGGCTGGCCACCGGCGTCTACCAGCGGCTGTCGCTCTCCTTCAGCCTGCAGAGGAACATCGGCTACTTCATCTTCCAGACCTACCTGCCGTCCATCCTGATTGTGATGCTCTCCTGGGTGTCGTTCTGGATCAACCACGAGGCGACCAGCGCCCGCGTGGCGCTCGGTGAGTGCGAGAGCGCTCTCTCTCTCTCTCTCTCTCTCTCTCTCTCTCTCTCTCTCTCTCTCTCTCTCTCTCTCTCTCTCTCTCTCTCTCTCTCTCTCTCTCTCTCTCTCTCTCTCTCTCTCTCTCTCTCTCTCTCTCTCTCTCTCTCTCTCTCTCTCTTTCTCCAATTTCCTAATGCGACGAATGGACTGTGGTTGCACCCTAGCGGTTAGTTTTGACAGTTCTAGTAACTACAATCGCCACCAGATGGCTTTATCATTGAGCGCCTGAATGTAGGCTGTCCCGCTGAGCATCTCGTGAACGCGCGGCGCGCTCTCTGTCTCTCACGTCTCCGGCTGCTCTCACGCCGCTGCTGTTCGATCTCCGCTGGTGACATCACTGACCAACGGTCTCCGAGCGGGTGTCACCGCAGCAGACCGATCGGCACACACCAGCCGCTGATCGATGGGTGCGTGACGTGCTCTCTGATCGCGGTCCACCACCACGACTCCTTCCCAGCCCACCACACCTCCCAGCTCTCCCTTACTGGAGCTCTCTCCCTGCGAGAGACAATCAGGCTGATGGGCTATTACGATAATGATGGAGAAGCCGAAGTGGATTGCGATGTAGATAGTGTAGGCGCTCGGCACATTCAAAAACAAACATCGACCAATAAATTTATACCTAAGTGTCCTAAGTACTACCAAAAATGATATTCTCCGTACACTCAGCATCAAGTAGCTTTTGTTTCGAAGTGTTCATAAATACGCAATATCACCCCATGCTTAGAGACGGAAGTTATAGTTTTCATGATGTCTGACCCGACCATTTCCCATTCTGATCCGCAGGCATCACTACGGTTCTGACAATGACCACCATCAGCACGGGTGTGCGCTCCTCACTGCCGCGCATCTCCTACGTCAAGGCCATCGACATCTACCTGGTCATGTGCTTCGTGTTCGTGTTCGCCGCCCTCCTCGAGTACGCCGCCGTCAACTACACCTACTGGGGCGCACGGGCAAAGAAGAAAAACTCACAAAAATCCCGAGATGTCAGCGATGGAGCGGAGGCCAACAGCCGAGTGTCGAACTGCGCCGGCGAAGGTGACAGCCGAGAGATCGAATGCGTCTCTGGGGAGTCACCGAACCAGGCCGATGGTGGCGGTATCGACCTGGGCACGGTGCGACCTTTAGGTCCTCTGAGGCGCAGGGCCGGCGCGGCGGCGGCGGAGGGCCGACCGTCGGCCGGGCCGGGGACGGGAGCGGCACGAGGTCGCCGGAGGGTACTCAGTTCACTTCGTCGTGGAGCATCAGCCCTGAGCCGCTCGCTGCCCAGGGTACACGATGTAAACAGCATTGACAAGTATTCACGACTGGTGTTTCCCGTTTCTTTTGTGCTGTTTAATGCCACGTACTGGGGCTTCTATATACTTTAATTGTGAGGAGTGAGCGGTGGTCTGGAAACTTGAGAAACGTTTACTTGGGTTATTTAAAGTGGAGGGGACATTTTCATTGCGTTACATCTAGGCTCGCTAACCCTCACTAAAGGTTCCCTGGTTATCTAAACGGCTTATCGTTACACCAGTGTTGGCAAATTATCCCCAAGCCAACGGTATTGTCAAGCGAAATGTGTCTAATTCTATACAGATAATTGTAACTTGTATGTTATATTCGTACGTTGTAATCGATCATCCATCTAAGAACGTGAAAATAAAATCATTTTGCCGCCCCGACGTAGAAAGGACTTGTATCGCGTCTCGCTTTTCAGTTAGTTGCAAAATGTACAAGACACATGCGCTGTATTTGTATACCCATCGATTCAGCGATTAGCGCGAAACGAAGTTGCAAGCCCCGAAACATTGGTATCACAGATCCAATGAATCAGATACTTCTCAGAACTGCGAGCACTGCCAATATTTTTGTCAATCAGAGCAACAAAATCCCCGGCCAGAAAAACGTACCAACTATGATGGCAAAATGTTGGTCAGGGGTTCAACAATGTTCTTTTTCTTTTTCGCTTCGCTCTCCTTTGCCTTCTTCTTCCTTTTCGCCTCTTTCTTCATCTTGATCTCCTTCAGTTTCTCGGAATCGGTCTTCTTTGCGTCCGGTGCGCCATCATCGTCGCCGAAATCGAACTTTATTTTCTTATTCTGCGGCGTCACGCCTCCTACTGAGATCGAAGGCACGGAGACCGCCTTCGGCATGGGCGCGATCGTCTTGCTCAGACTCTGCGCCAGGCTCCTCTTCTGGCTCCTTCCGTCAGGCCGGCGCTCTTTCTTCTTCATGCCCTTTTTCTTTTTCAGTGACGACTTGGATTCTGCAGTAGCATCGCCTGAGAATTTGTTGACCGGCGCCAGCATGTTATCCTGCGCCTTTGGCGCCGGTTTCTCACCCTCGGGGCGAGCCTTCCGCAGCTTCTTGCCGGTGATCCGGTCCACTTTGGGACGCGCCGTGGCGTGGCACCTCTGGACGCGGATCGTCTGACCCTCCAGCTGACTGCCGTTCAGCTTCAGCGCGCGCGGCACCGCCTCCTCCGCACTGAAGTTGACGTAGCCGAACCCCTTGCCGACCGAGGTCTCGCGGTCGCGCACGATGCGCACGCTGACGATGGTGCCGCAGTCGGCGAAGTGCGACCACAGCTGGTTGTCCTCGGCGTTCAGCGGCAGGCCACCGACGAACACGGCCAGCTGAGGGTCAGGCCGCGACTCGGACATGGCCATGTTGACGCGCAGGTGGTGCTCCTCGTACAGCTGACCGTTGGCCTCGGCGGCGGCCTTTTCAGCACCGGCCTCCGTGGTGAACCGCACGTAGGCGTTGATCGACGAGCGGTCCTCGCTGAACCGGTGCGTGATGACGGCCATCCGGATCGGCTTCTGAGCATCCAGCCGCGGCGCGCTGCGCAAACGCACTGACTCCACCTTACCGTACTTGGCAAAGAAGCGGTTCAGGTCGCGGCGGTTCGTCTTCGCCGGGAGATTACCGACGAACACGGTGCGTTTTTCCAGCTTCGGGTCTTTCGGCTTTACAGGGTTTTCGCCTTTCTTGGAGCGTGGTTTCTTCTTCTCCGACGGTACAGGTGAAGTTTGTCCTTCGACAGTGTCATTGGCCTCGTCGGAGACGGGTTCATTTCCGACGTCTTCACTGCGTTCCTTCTTCCGCTTCTTTTTTGGTTTCACGTTCTCTGAAGCATCAATAGGCGCCGATTGCTCTAGCGACCCCTCAGCGGACGCGTCTATTTGCTCTCTTTTCCGCTTCTTGCCAGTCTTCTTTTCAGGTGAGTGTGGTACTGGGTCTGGCTCTGTAATGTTATCACCACTTGAAGCATGACTCTTCTTATTTTTCTTACTTTTCTTGAGTGACGCTGAATGTGGTGTACTGGCATTATCATTTACTGGGGTGTCATGGGGAATTTCCACACTTGGAGTTTCAATACAATCAGAATCATCTCTGGCAAGTTTATGCTTTTTCTGTTTCTTGCCTGATGGCATTTCTTTCACAACCATTTGGTATGTTTGCTGTTCTTCAAGCTTCTAACAGCTCACAAAGTATCTGGAAAATCAAAATTAAAAATATGTTAATGTTTCTTTACCAGAGTCAATATGCACATTTGTAACAAACATTAACTTATCAATATTATATGTTTATGTATCTCAAAATATGCAGTCAAATACAAAATAACATGTCAACCAAACACTAGGTAAAATTTGGTTCTGGAAAAAATCATTGACCTTAAATGTAACATATCAGAATAATCAGCTATTTGTAAATTTATGCCACTACATTTATGTATGAATCTATTAATTTTTCTATGCAATTGTAAAAATGTTTGATGAAGTCAGTCAGTGAGCAATACCTACTGTTGCTGTGTCACTGTGGTTTTATAATGGTGTGGTGGAATTTTCACATTGGAGTCTGGACACAATGTATTATGCAAGTGAGGGCTTTCTTGGTTTTGGTGAACATTTCATAGTTCTTTGGTATGCATTTCACAATTTATCTGGTGTTAAATTATGTGGATTTTCAGCTTGATGGCGAATATTCTGATTTTTCACATCGGCTCAGCCAAGGCTCAGCTAGTGCGGATTATTGATTCAGAAAAATACTGTATGTGGATTGCGCCTTGCGGTTTGCTCATTGCTCATTTTAGAAACTTTGAACTATGCATTAATATTGACACCAAAAATGGAATTTCACAAGAGTTCATTTTACATTGCAGAAATCAACCCAGAAACAGAACATGAATTGGAATTGACGAAATTGAAACCGAGGCGAAACCCCATATCAAAGAGTGCACCCTGCAACAGCATACAAGTTTGAAGTTTCTTTGCTCTTCGTTTCCTGCTTATGTGGTTCCAGTTTGACGTCCACTCCTTCCAATGAATAAATAAATTCAATTAAATTCGCAGTACCGAGTCCCAATGGCTGGGCAACAACACGTGTGTATCGTGTGTATGCAGTCGCTTGTGCAATAAATTTTGCGCATTGTTTGGAACAAACGTCTCAACAACTATGACAAATACCGCGTGATTGAGTCAATTGTGGTGAGTCAGCAGTAGCAAATGATATACAACTTCCTTCACTTTGGGTTGATGACTGAGAGAAGAAATTATTGGATTGTGAGATGCAAGGCCCTAAATACAGGGCCTGTGAGATGCACTGTGAGGTGAGATGCACTGTGGAGTGTGATGCACTATTTATATACACTGTGGTGAGATGCACCTACATTGGTAGTGCACGTTGTTCTATATACCCTGTTAGGGCACAGTGTATATTGAGTGAAGGTAGTGCATGTTGCTGATTTGTTTGTATTACTTATTTGATACTGATGGAAGATAAGATACTGGTGACTTGCTGGTCTGGTTGACTTCATCCTTGAGTTGCAGGCTACATCAAGTCACAAGACGTGAAGGAACGACTTTACGAGGAACGACAATTCAACTGGACGTTCTGGGCCCAACGAGGCTATACGTCCTACACCACAAGTAACCACAAGTAAGTTGAGTTGCAGGTTTGGTCAAGGTTTGGTCATCTCATATTGGGTAATGGGTGGCTATACCATACCTGACCATGCCTATGTTTGGTCAAGGCCAAGTCAGGTCAAGGCCTTGTTTTCAGTTTGATATTGGATTATCAGGGCCCAGGGAGCCCTATCTAAATCTCACTCTCAACCTATCCTTGTCCTGTCCTGATATCAAGGCATATGGGCCTTGATCGAGGCTATAGTGATAAGGCTATCTAGTATCTTGATTCTTTATTAATAAGTCCTGAACTGTGGACATCAGCACAGTCCATGGGTATAGTGTAGATTGTTGTTTTATATTTGAAATTTGCTCACACCAGTACCACAGGCTCATAAACCACATACCCTGTCTTGGTGAAACTCAAACTGAACGTGTCAAGGTTGAAATGGCTCTTGTCTTTTTGTCAGTTTTTCTTGGGTAGGTACAGGGACCCGCAGTTGCTACTGTACACATATATTACCAATTTAGAATTGCGCTATTATTTGCTAAGTGCTGGCCATTGGAGAAAGGAAATGTAGCGCAAAGTATGGAGGAATAACACATGTTTGCTCCTAGCACGTATGTTTTGTATAATTCCTCTTACCGCAACAGATATTCTTCCAAAACTACAATCGTGCTATTTTTCCGCGCCGGCTGCCTCCCCAGAGCCCGTCCTTGGTATCGCCTATTGCTTCCGTTCCCGCTACGTGAATGAAAGTCACGTGACTACTACAGGTTTGCGCTCAGTACTAACACACCTAGCCCGAGGGCCGGTCCGTAGCGGGGAGGGGTAGAACGCCTGAGCTCCAGCGCAGTGGAGGTGGTGGTGGCCCGTATCATAAAGAGGCAACCGTAAGCAGAACTACAATTGCCGCAGTATAAGATTATGATCAAGTTTTCTTTAAATGTATTGATTGACAAGAAAGTGCAATGTTTATCTGATATAATAAAACGGTGTGCAAGGCCTTGGAAGAACTATAAAACATATTCAGCAACGTATAAATTTCTGATACAGGCCATGACCTTTCACCTTGCCTCCGGGGAGGACCGCTCAGGAAGCCACATACCGAACGAATCGAGGCCTCGCAGCGCGGCGGCAGAGGAGGTGGATAAACCATCGCCAGATCTTTCGATTACTTATGTTTCCAGAAGAAGGAGGGGGGGGGTGGAGGGGGGCTATTTTCAACCCACTCACCAATCCTTTCCTTATTAACTTATAGCTTACCGAAAAATGAAACACAATGGTGGCCGTCACGAGATGTAGCGAAGAGTGCCTCAGCCACACCGGTTTTGAGTAAACTTTAAGCATTCGAATTCAGGCCAGTGATCCTGAAGCATTATTTTATTTTTGTCGTGCATAAGCTGGGATAACTTGGTCCAAGTTAATTGCGAAGAAACGGTTTTAGTTTCAGAACGTTTATGAGGCTAGTCGCGCCAAATAGTATACGTTTGTTGTAAAATGTCAAATAGCATGTTGACGTGCTATCCAGATGATGGAATTTATTTGACACAAGAAGTCAAAAAGTGGCATCGTTAGTCATCCTGCATACCTATAAATCGATTCGTCACCTTGGTTCGAGCTCAATAGTTCTTTTCGCGGATGATCGGTTTCGTTTTCTTTTATTTGGGGGGGGGGGCAGTTTATGAGCCAGTAACCACCCTCCCCAGCCCCCCAAACAAAACAACTATTGTTGACAAACACTGTGATGGCCTAAAAAAATGCCCTCAATTGTGTAACGTAGGGAAGAATGAGGTAAATTGAGCCGCTTTTGTTTTTCGTAAGCTACAGGCTAACTTACTGATCATTTTTCTGCGTTTACGAGTTGGACGGACAGACTGGTCATTGCCCATGTAATGGTGGCCAGAAATGTTTCATACCGCTTATTTTTGTACTGAAAGGCTACGTCAAAAATCATCTTGCACGTTACTCATCTTACACCATGGGCGGGGTAAGTTGAGACACGTCGTGGGGAAAGTTGAGCATGGAAGGAAAAAGCGAGCCTCTTCTTTTCCCGGGCGCGGCGAAGAGTGGGCTCTTTTATTTACTCCATGACATACATACTTATGGCAAAGTTTTTTTCCTCCATCAAAAAGTGACTGTTTTAAGCCTTCCAATAGCTCGTCAAGTTTTCTATCACGAAAGAAATCATTTTATCCTTCAGATAATCTGCAAATCACTTACAACTTGTGTTATCAACAAAGAAAAACAATTTCCTACCATTTTTATTCAGCAGATACAAGCGCAGCTCAGTTTGGTTTTCGACAGCGGAGACAACAATGGCTTATCCGGCTCATCTTCCCCCAGGTGAAAATGCCTCATCTTGCCCCACCCGTGGCCATTTTCGATTAATGACACCCGCTAAGGAAAATAACCATGCACCGCAGATAACAACCATCTCATTTTAAAGGCAAAACATGTCTTAGTTATCAGGGGCGATACCACATGTTACCGGGTGCTGAGCGTGAGAACGTTGCCGTCTCACGTGAAAGACTACAGCATCGTAAGCGAACGGCACATGGAAGCTCAAGTCAATCAGCGCCAGAGGAGCTGAGAAACATGGGGTGGCTAAACTTGCCCCTTGGCTCATCTATACCTCACTCTCCCCTATTTGGGGCTCGCAACCTTGATTCGTTAGTTATTTGTCTGTTCATTATAAAAGCTGTCAAATTTGCCGTATCATTAAACTTTTATTGAGCTTTTATTTCACACTTATCTAGAATGAACAATTTTGTCACTGGCTTCTTTTATGAATGGAATTGGATGGTCGCATGTATGAACGAATGAATAGCTCCATTTGAGCATCAGCTGAAATCAATCCTAAAATTTAATCTACCAGTCTGCAACGAAAAGGTTTAAAAACCAGTGCAAGTTAGGTGCAGTTTCTAATCTATGGCGTTTTTTATTAAGTGTCTCATAGTTCAATTAATCCTGAGCCGCTTCTCTCACGATTCATTTTATGTGTTGCTTACATTGTTCAAGAAGTTATATTATTCGAGCTCGTTGGTCTTAAAAACTGCTATCGAAGTAAATCAAAGTGTTTCGGGCTTCGGCACTTAAAAAGCAATCGATATTTAACCCTCACCTATTTAGGCATTTCTTTTCAGCGTCTTACATGTAGCGGAGGGGCGTAGAAACCCTCAGCCATTCGGCCCTTGATAAAAAGAGCCAGAGCTTCGCTGAAAATAAAAAAGAGCGTGCTGCTCGTGACGAGAGAAATCTGATGATTTGAGGGTTCTGGTCATCGCTGACGAGAAAAAGCCAATTCTTTTTATGTCCTGGTCAATGCTGAGATCCTAGGTCACTGGTTGACCTCCCAGATCAGGTTAATAACCCAAAAGCACGGAAATTTGGGTCCTGCTAGAATTTCTACAAGTGAAGTTTGCTGGGACTTGGCTTGCTTCTGACTCCGAATTTGCACTTGCTTTGATCAAAGATGATGTATCAAAGCATTTGGGGTAGGACGGGTCACGCCAGATTACCCATTAGGCGTTCTGCCGGCTATATATAATGTTAACCAGCACTTACAGCCTGGCAACATATTGCATAGGCACTATAACTGATACTTAAGTATGCCTAGTTTTCAAATGCTAAAATGGGTGCTAAATTTCAAACCAACACTTCCTAAAAACCACAGTAAAAAGGTGTAAATTTCGAGATCATTTCAAGTAAATGACCTTCCTGAGTTTCACGTGACCTTGGCACCCACAACAATTAATGAGACAAACATTAGATAGTATATTTCACATGTTGTCACGTTGCTAATCACGAAACGACTATGGAAACACACAGAAGATGTGCGCTGACTTTCAATTGCTATTCTGGCCTGACATGATCTTGAGAAAAATAATCACAGGTTAAAGGTAATTTGGTTCAGGGATTTAAAATTCTCAGACAAGATGCAAAAATGATAAGGGCTATTTAATTTTCCGGGAAGTTGTAAAATTGATTAACTCCAGGGCACCAAAGAATCGTCGCAATCCTTCGCTTTGCCGCGATTTATTGGTGTAAAACAGCGGGCGCGGTCTGCTTACCTCTACTTACATGTGTGGTGAGGGCTAATATTCATTTTATCTGTGTTGATGAATGTGCAACAATTTCTATATGAACTGAGACCAGTCCATATGAGTATGTTTTTCTCACGGACAATGACAATATAAAAAACAATGCGAATAAAACCAAACGTTTCGGACAACAACGTGCCTTCGTCAGTGGAGAAAAATAAGTGTATAGGTTTAACATCGATGAGAACTAAATGCGGCACCGTCTCGGTCTGGCCAGCCGGGTTGCCGATAAAATACACAAATGTTTATAAGCTTCCATGATGTGCTTAAAAAACTGCTGAAAATATATCTTTAAAAAATAAAGATAACTACTTCATCGATGTTATCGAAAGAAAACATGTATGCCTAATTACTCATTTCTTGCCACTGACGGAGGCACTTTTTTGTGCGAAACGTCTGGTTTTATTCGTATTGTTATATTGTTATTGTATTGTCATTCCCTGTGAGAAAAAAGGATAACTCTTCAGTCAGTAACCATAACAGGGAAACGGCTTATTGTAACACAATTCACTGTGTATACGAAACCTATAAGTCCCTAAAATAATTCTATATACAACTTTTAAAAAGATACAGCTTATACAGCTTGGGCATACAATTTTTTCTGCATTAACATAATATTAATTTATCTCCACAGAATATGGTAAATTAGTGCTGCTGAAGTTCGCTTTCGAAGCGTCTCCTCCAGACATTCTACAGCTCTCGTGCCATTTTGGATCACGGAACATGGCTGGGCGCAGGACACGTCAGGTCGTCTGCGAGCTTGGACGGACCACGTGACCACCTCCTCCACTCCCCCTCACTCCCGTCCCCTTCCCCAGCAGGGCGTCCGATCTAACCGCGCCCCAGGCAGTCGGCTCGGTCTGACCCTCCCCATGGTCGAGTCACGGCCCGGTGCCGCCTGAGTTTGTGCCGGGTGCAAAACTGGAGCAGTAACTAGCGCCGGAACTAGTAGTCAGCACGACCATCGTCAGATGGCAGGAGTAAATGGAATAAGCGGTTCCAGGTTTCAGAAGGAATGGGGCAGGAAAAAGCGCTGAAAACAATGTTTTGCTGATATAGCCATAAAAAGTTCACTGAATTAGGAGAGCAGCACATCAGTTTAAAGCCCTTCAGAAGGTGGTTTTAATAAGCACACAATCATTTCCCAATTCGCCTCCAACGGTGTCACAGGCCAAGAATACGCTGAAATACTAGTGTGTACAGAAGCAACTGCGGGTCCCTGTACCACTGCTTTCTCACTGCTTTGCAGATTTCACTGCTCACTTTACTTATCAGTATACATTTTGTCAATGGATTTAATGCTTAGTAATAACATTGAATTGACCCAGCTATGGTTAAGGGTTTTCATTGTTAGAGCATTGATTGACATTCAAATGCTAGATCAGGTAAGTGAGATCAAGATGAGAATGAAGAATCCCTCATGTTTATTGAGGTTATTAAATTTTTATGTTATGTTTCAATTGAAAATTGGCAGATTTTTATAGCCAAGCATCTTTTTAAAGCCACATCAGTCATCACACTTCACAGAATGTTGACAGCACAGCATCTAATGAGTTTCTCAAACTTGGGGCTTATAAACTAGCACCTACAGTGTATTGAAGATGGGTTACTGTCAAGTAACACTAGCAATACTCAACAGTCAACAGTGTCTGATCTGTATGCTCAAAAGCTATAAGTCGTGTCTAATAATATGGCAGACCCAGACCTTCAGGCATATGCCATCCATCGTTCTTTCCCCTGTGGGAGCAGGCAGCTCTATAGAGCACAGCTCTGGGAAACTTACATGTAACTGCACAGTGCACATGTTAATGCATAGCTAAGAAAACCTTGGAATGCACTGGAATGCGTAAGACACTTTTGGCATGATTACCTATGATTGTGATTTCTCATGGTGATTATCTGCCCGGTATCATCCAATGATTCTTTTTTTCTAGATTTTGGAGCATTTGACCCATTGATACACATTGCATCATCATCAACAGAATAAAATCATGTCAACCTATGAGGAGAAGCATGTGCAGTTCATCAGCAACCTTCCCGGCACGACGTTCTTGGACATCGCATCACTGCTGATGCAGCTGCCGCTATCGACCCTGGCGGTGGCCACTCTCCTTCCCCTGCTGTGGCCGAATCTGTATTTACCGACGAGAAAACTGCCCGAAAGAACAGCCGCACGACTGAGAGGTCAGTAGGGCACAATAACTTTCACACCATTTGTCGAGGTTTGATTCCCTGTTCGCTTTAACGTCAGTACTGCTGAAGTTTGACCGCTGGTTTGTGCTTTCCTCAGCCCTGCTGAATGTGTAACCCCCTGTTCGCGTTTCTTTCAGCTCTGCTGGAGTTCAGCATCCTGGTGCTGCCGCTGATCGGCTCCGTCACGCTCCTGGCCGACCACGCGCTCAGCCTGTGCTCCTTCCTGGCCGCCCTGGCGGCGCTGTCGGCTCTGGCCTGCGCCTCCCGCCGGCCGCTCGCCGGGTCTCTCACGGCCGCCCTGCGCCGCGCCTCCGTGGCCACTCCGCGTCTGCCGTGCGTCACCAACGCGCGCGCGCACCTGCACCTGGCCACGGCGCTCTGCATCCTCGCCGTGGACTACCGCGTCTTCCCGCGCCGGCTGGCCAAGGCGGAGACGTACGGCGCCGGCCTGATGGACGTGGCCGTCGGCTACTTCGCGGCGTTCCACGGCCTCACGTCGCCCGAGTCGCGCGCGCCGGCCGGCCGGCGGCGGCCGCTGGCGGCACGTCTGGCGGACTACTGGCGCTCGGTGCGCGCGGCTCTCGGTCTCGCCGCGCTCGGCGCCGGCCGACTGACGCTGGTGAAACTCTCCGGATACCACGAGCACGTCTCAGAGTACGGCGTGCACTGGAACTTCTTCTTCACGCTGGCCATGGTGAAGCTGGTGGCGCCGCTATGGCTGGTGGTGCTGCCGGCGAGTCTGAGCGCCGTGCTGGCAGTGCTGGTGGCAGTCCTGCAGCAGACGGTGCTGGACGCCGGCGCTGAGAAATGGATCACCGCCGAGGGCCCGCGGGACGGGTCTCTGATCGAGGCCAATCGGGAGGCGTTTGTGTCGCTGCCCGGGTATGTTGCGCTGTACCTGCTGGGTGTGGCACTGGGGACGTACCTGCGCCGGCCGCGCGCCGGCTGGCTGCGCTGGCTCGGCTGCTGCGTCTCGCTGTTTCTGGTGGCGGCCGGCCTGTGGCGCCTCTCGGCCTGTATGGACGCCGGTCCGTACAGGATCTCACGCCGGTTGGCCAACGGCACCTACATCGTGGCGTGCGCCGCCCAGGTGCTCGGTATCAGCTCAGTGTACCTGCTGGTGGACCTGATCATCACCCTACTGCAGGCGCTGGGTGTCATCCCCGCCGGCACCGCCCAGCGCGTGCCCAGTCTAATGGCCGCCTCTGGCGACAAGGGCCTCGCCATGTTCTGTCTGGCCAATCTGGCCACCGGGGGCGTCAATCTGGCCACCCGGACGATAGAGGCGTCTGACGCCACCGCCCTGGCCGTGCTCACCGCTTACATGGCCGTGCTGTGCGCCATTGTGGTGTGGATGAATACGCGACATTTGTCCGAACAGCCGAGCGGCAAAGGGGGCGCCGATGGGGAACGGAAGAAGAAAGAGAAATAGCTTACTAATTGATTCCACGCGTGCTGGGGCGTTTCATCGTCTGTGATTGAATTTTCTAGCCTAATGCTAGCGCTCAAGGGCTCGTGAAAGTGTTTTAGTGTGTAAAAGTTGATCGTTGATTCTGCTTGCTTGTTTTGTTATTGCACGACCGAACCGCGGCTTTGCTAACGTTTGGTGCTCCCAGAGCTAACCATGCCTCCAATAGCTGAAAATGCAGCAATGGACGTGTTCAATGTGATCATAACTGTGCCTTCGTTCCGTTCAGTTCAGTGTCTCGCCATTTGCACACGATTCGTCCATAGTCAATATTATGCTGTGTCATGTTTGTCATTTTCAAATGCATTCCATAACCATGTTTCAATTTCTAAAGTGCTTTTACGTCGTTCAGGTAGTGCACTCAGATGTGTACGAACCAATCGCGGCCAGTATGTACACTCTCAATGCGTACACCCATTCTCGCACTGGGCACAACTGCCGTCATCCCCTATATATTGCCCTCGGTGCTCGAACTTTTTTTCAAGCGACCCGTGCAAACTAAGTGAGACTTACCGAACTGTGTCCATACCAAAATTCTAATTTGCAAGGGTTGACGCCATCACTATAGTACAAAAATGACGCAAGCGTGTTGAATACTCCTCTCCTTCACTGTCGTCTGCAGCGGGGTAAGTTCGTACCGCTGTAATTACATACTCATCACTTCACAATAGAGGTTACATTTATTCAGGTAAATACAGTCCATGCCAATGACTGACAAAGCGGACGCGTATAAATCGGACCATACAAAACCCACTCGCGCGCTATCACAGCACCTAAACCCATCACATCACATCCCAATGTGGCGAGTTCCCTGAACCCTACGACGCTTCACCGCCTGGGTCTGGCTCGTCGTCCAATTCATACTTCACGTTCACCCTGAGTCTGGGGTAGAGCGAGGTCAGTCGGTCGAGCATGCTCTGCTGGATGTCCTCTACTTGGTCCGGCGGGCAGAAATCGTCCAGACTGGACCGGGCGATCGTCACACAGCCCGGCTCCGGCAGCGCCGACAGGAACTCTGTGACCTGAGGGAAAGGGTACACGGTCAGAGGCGTGGACTAGGGACGGGCAGTCAGAGGCACATGGTAAAATTAAGAACGAAAGCTGCAAAATCGATCCGTATGAATTATGAGATAATTGCTTTTAGCTTTACGAGGACCGGGTTCTTCTATCGCAGACAGTTGATAATACACCGTAATTGACGTGCGTCGACCGTCGATTGCTAGTCACTATCTTAAAAAGCTAAATTACCTTGCAATCAAATAGGGAGATATCACTTTGCATTAATGCTTCCTCAAAGCGGCAGTTTATTTACTGTCCATTGGCCATCCTCGCCCGTCTTCGCTCCCCCTCCCCCCGTCACCACCACTGACCTGTTCCACGGAGCTCTCCACCTGCTGGTCGGTAGACACGTGATGCGGCAGACCGCACGTGTCGAACGTGCACGCCGCGTCGTACACCAGCTGCCAGTCCACCTCCTCGTGTGTGTAGTGCTCCCCCACGGCCGCCGCCAGCTCCCGCAGACCATGCATCAGCTCTGTCTCTGGCGACGGCCCGGTGAACCCCTCCAGACTGCCGACCCGGTCCAGATGGTCAAACACCGCCTTCGCCTCGGTGAGGAGCGCCCGCCGGGACTCCTGCGCCGACGTGACGTCGTCGCTCACCTCGAACGCGAATAGTTTTTGTAAGCGTCCGTGCATATCGGCCTTCGGTAGCATGGCACGGAACGGGTCGTGCGTGGAAAAGAAGTCCAGATCGATATCAAGGATGTACGGTGTATCGCGGAGTCGTGGCGCCAGCTCAGCCACCGCTTTGGCCGTGCTCGTGTCCTCACCTAGCGTCACCACCACTATACTGAACGTCCGAGTGTTTCTCAGCTCCTCTGCGGGCGCGTAGAGCAGCTCTGAGACAAAGTACGGGTGGCGGCAGTCGAGCCGCACCAGGCCGTCGGCTGTCTCCCCGATGGTACAGCGCAGCTCGCCCTCGGGAAGCTGGGGCGCCCACGGCGGCCGTACCCACAGCACGTCCCCCAGGTGGCCGGCGAATACGGCCGGCAGGATCCAGTCGCCGATACTGAGCCGCGGCAGCAGGGCCTCCCGGCAGGTGGCTTCTTCGGCGCCGAGGTCGGTAGGCAGCAGCAGGTCCGGGTGAGAGTCGAAGTGGAGCAGTGTGGAGCCGTGCACCGGCAGCCGCTTGGCGCCGATCTCACGGTAGATCCACTCCAGCGCCTCGTTGTGGTCCTCTACTATGTAGGCCTCCAGGGACTTCATGGCTGAACACCACAGCTGAAACGGAATGGATCGTTAACCCGGTATCCATGCTGCATGATGCATCGATAACCGAGACACCACTAAGAATTACGAAAACGTAATTACAAGAAAAAATACATATAACGCATTCATGCGAACATAGACCGAGAGTTGATATGTGAGTACGCTGACCGGATTAGGTATGTTGCCGGTGCCAAATGAACGCTTGCACTTTACTAAGTAGAGAAACAAACGCACTAAAAGGCAAAAGGTAACATCGGTAACATCATAACAAAATGCTTACAATGTAGCAATTATGAGAAAATTTATCGCAATTACAAACCGATACAATAGGTGGTTAGACTTTACCTGTCAGTGTTTGTTACTGCTTAAGATTGACTATTGACGCTTCTTCTGGCCAAACGGAGGGAGGTCCAGCATTCTCGCCACTCCAAGTCCGCAAATCACTGAAAAAGAAAAAGACGCCTTATTACCCATTATTATCTACCAGTAAAACGCCTTTTGGGCGAAGAACGAGCGAGCGAGATAGTGAGCCCTGCACGTGCAGAAGGGCGAGAGGGTACTTCCAACGGGCTTGTGCAAAGCACCCTTCTAACCGGTCGCTAGCGGTGTACCAAATTTGAACGCAATCGGCCCAGCCGCTCCTGAGATCTGGAAGCGGCATTCTGCACGTGCGCACGTGCAAACGGGGTCCAAAATGACTTTTGCACGGCACCCTACTAACCGGTTCCCAACCGTGTACCAAATTTGAGCGCAATCGGCCCAGCCGTTCTCGAGATCTGGAAACGCCCCCTGCACGTGCGCACGTGCAGTAGCACCCTAACCGCAACACATGGGAATGCATTGCCTGGTGGGTGCCTACCTGTATGCCAAGTTTCAGCGAAATCGCCCCAGTAATTACCGAGTTACTGAAATGGGAACAAATTTGGCACCTCTTATTGTTGTATTTTGCACGTGCAGTGGGGGTCACTCACATAGATGAAGAGTATCCGACCTTTGGTAGAAGGGATGCAGCTACCCTATAAAAATGACCGCAAGACAATCGCTCAAGCCGCTGCTGAGATATGGGCCTCTCAAAAGCATTACTTTTGCAAAACTGCTTGAACACCCTTGACTTTTCACGTGGCACGTGCCACGGCGGTCACTGAGATGTATCAAAAGTAGTCAATTACGGGGTAGAAGGGATGGGGCTACCCAGCAAAAAGACCGCAGGCCATTCGGTCCAGCGGTTGCTGAGATATAAGCCTCTCAAAAGCGTTACAGGCCGGGCCGGACCGCTCATACTGAGATTTTTCCGTTATATTGAAAAGACTTCGCTTCGCTCGCTGCGCTCGCTCGCTCGTAATCATCGTACGACGGTGGTAAGCGATGCAACAAGTGAACCGCACTTTCAGGTTGCCAATGGTTGCCATTCTTGAAGAGACAAAGATCGCTAACGATTTAATGATATGAAAATAGGCAATTGACGTTTTCGAAACAATGCATCGTAGCCAGCGAACAATCGTAGAAATAAATGAAGCAACTAATTAAGTCACAGACTCGCTCTCAGTCACAGTGAACTGGTGTGAACTATGAATGCCATCGAATGTCATTTTTTTTCGAAACACGAAGTGTCCCTCACGAAAAATGTTCGTAGAACATAAACCAGAGAGCTTGAGGAAATTGAAGCTCATCTTACAAATGCTAGCTACTGAGCCGATCGCTCCAACCCTCTCAGTTGGCTCTACAGTGTCCTACACACTCCAGCCATACCGACCTCCGGCGCCAGGTCGCTCACCTCCGGCGGCAGCCATCATCAGGGAGCGCTCGACGGGCCGCGGCCGCTTCAGGCCCTGGTAGGCCACGTACAGCGAGGCCAGGCTGATGACGCCTCCGCTGCTCAGCCGGCACGCCAGACAGTCCTTGTTTGAGCCGGACTCCTCCTCCTGAAGACTCGACATGCCCGACCGCCGCCCCTCCGAGACTGCCGGCATGGACACAACTCTGATGTAACCGGCTGCTGACTGTGTTATTGCTTCAGATCGTCACCAAGCCTCTAGTCAAACTTCAATCTGCCCTGGACAAGGTCCAAGAACTTCATCCCTTGAGCTTAGAAGTCAGGTCACAGGTCACACTCCAGCTGACCTTTTGGCTCTTTGACCATAAGTGCACTTGTGTCAAGAGAATGCTCACACCTGACATTCCATGGAAGCACAGAGACAGAAAAATGACACATGGATGACTAGACTAGAATGGCAAATACATGAGGAAGTGCTACACTCAAGCCAGTAGGCACCTATCATAGAATAATGGCACATGGGTCTCAGGGTCAGAATGACACATGGGGAGCACATGGATCAAAGAAATGGCTTAGAAATGTCCCAGGAGAATGAAAAAGGACACTGGAGCTTGAAAAGATGGTACATGGAGAGCACAGAATCATAAAAAATGGCACAAGGCAGGCAATGTGTCATTTAGCACAGGGGCAGATTGTTAATGGCAGGAGAGCACATGGCTAATGAAATCACAGAAGGAGAGAACACAGGATTGGAAGAATGATATGGGAAGCCCGGGATCAGAAAAAATAATACATGGGGACTGGGGAGTACAGAGAATAAGGAAAATTACACATTGAGGGCATGTCAGCTGTTAGGCTCAAGTACAGGATAAAGAAAGGCACATACAGAGCACAGAAATGGAGAATAACACATAGAGAGGGCAATAAGAAGTTAGGAACAAATGGGGAGAAAAATGATACATGGAGATCACAGAGTCAGGAGTGTGACACAAGGAAAGCTAGCTACAGGATCAGAAAAAGTTGTACATTGACATAGAGGGCACATGGTCAGGAAATTAGCACCTGGGGAACTTCAAGACAGGAGAATGATATAGGCATGGGGAGCACAGAATGAGCAGTCAGGTAAGGAACACAAAGGGCACAGAATAAGGAGAATGACACATGGGACTTGGGAGCACAGGCCCAGGGTACGAAGAAAGACACATGTGAGCGCATTCACAGGGTAAGGAAAATGGCATACAGAGCAATGCAGAAAATAGAAATCCATAGAACAAGATGATAAGATGAACAGGCCACAGAAGGAATATTGCATGCAAATTGCAAAATGTAGGTATGAAAACTGTAAATTTGATTGTTACAATTTACCATCAAATTAGATTGAGATGAGCATAAAAAACTGGGCATAAATCAGCAACTATCCATTGTCCAACAGAGCTTGAGTTTGATATAAACGTCACAAGACATTCAAACAAAAGCAAAAATATCCAGCCTTCTCACCTACACTTGATGCACTTAAAGACCTACACAATCTTCCTTACAATTTGACTTTAAAAATAAAATCAAAGGCAAACAGATGAGGTAGAATATCAAAACCTAGATTCAGAAGTAGACAATATTGTCAATTTTCATATTTAGTTTAATATCAATATTCTTAGCTTGGCTTGGCTATAACATCAAAATGGTCATTTCATCGCAATAGCACAGAGGACAAATCGAAATGCACAAAAAATGCAACCCCAATCCTAATTCGTCCCTAATCCCCACCTTGACCTCACCACAGACGAGAGACTACATACACATAGACAGCGAGAATACTAAACGGCATATACCATACCTCTAGAGTCTAGACAGCGAGAATAAAACGAGGCGATTCTGATTCTTGCCAGCAGTTGTTGCCTAGAGGATTGACACTTACCGCCACCGCCGCCACCTACAAACTGCACTAGCGCCACCTAGACAAATGAAGAGCAACTGGACTAAGTCCAAGGTGCCGACTGCCGACTGCCGCTCCAGCCACACTGTAACGATCCAGCCCAGCCACAGCCCACAGATGTAACGTGCTGAAAGGCTGAAAGCGACATTCGATAACATTCATATCGGGCCTTGATATCGGGCACCTTTGAGCTGCGATGAGGTAGTGACCATACTTAGCTTGCTTCTTGAGTATTCCTACCCTACCTGCAGGAGGAGAGAGCTCAACTCGCTCTTACCAAAAGTTAGTTTAGTTCGAATATTGCTAACTTACATTTAACCCGCGCACCGACGGGGGGGCGGATATCCGCCCCCCCCCCCCTGAGGTTTTTCGCGAATAGCGGGAAAACCGCGGCGCGTAGCGCCGCGAAATTTGGTATGACTATTCCCCCATCAATTTTACACATGGTGTGCAAGTTTGAACCTCCTAACTTTTAAGGTCAGGTCACCAGGTCACTATGAATGACCCAACCTCAAGTCACTTTTTTGCAACTTTGTCACCGTGCCAGAGCTACAGTAGATGTCGGAGGCCTTTGAAAGTCGCAGGATGTTATTAGGTCATTAGTAGCTACAATTTGTATATCTCGGAATTTTGATATCGGTGACCTAAGGTCAGGTCAATTTCGCGAGCTCCCCATTATAAGTCAATGGGGAAAAATCAACTCCCTGTTTTTACTACTAAAACGGGTCGGAATGGCCCCATATACCACACATGACTTCATATACGATCAACCTTCACTACCTTGAGGCCTGTTTTGCTGTTGGGCAGCTGTAAGGTCATGTGACGTCATCAAAGGTCACCAAAGGTTTTTGGCCAATAACTCCGTACAGGAACAAGATACAGCCGCGCGGATGGTCTCATTGTGTTCAGATCGTCAAGACGCATCGAATGATATACATGATGACCTCGAGGTCACGTGACCTGAGGTCAACCTTTGACCTTGACCTTTCGAGGTCAACATATATATCATTCGATGCGGATTGACGAGAGGATCACGATGATGCCCTTAGTTTGTTCCTATCTTGACATATTCGAAAGTTATTCGAGAAAAACTCTCTCCATATCTAGCGCCGCCATTTTGACTTTTTTGACCCCTGTGACGTCATCTTTGACCTGACCTGAAAATGACCTTAGTAAAAATTGTAGAACATGACCGTGCGTATCCGATGCCGTTTACCGCTTGTCGCTATCTTGCTCCGTTCTCGAGATCTCAGGGGGGGGGCGGTCATCCGCCCCCCCCCCCCGTCGGTACGAAGTTGGCGCGGACCCCCGTCGGTGCGCGGGTTAATGGACATAAGGACGCGAGTGGTCAGAGCATCGCACAAATGATTGTGTTGCCTATGTGGGACCTATCACTTCAGTTTAGTTTCTACATCAGCCTTAGCCGAAGGGGATGCGACTCCCCGTGGTTTCGCCCTTGATTGAGTTTCTCGGAAAAATGCATGCGCCATTATAAGACGTGACGACTAACTTACCCAATTCTGAGGTCTTTGGTCAGGCCGGTGACAAATGGGGTCAGGAGACCCTGAGGTAGGAATCCTTTTTTATAGTCTGTATTCTGGTAATGGGTCTCAGCCGACTTCGCATTGGGGGGGGGGGGGGGGTATTTGGCCACACTATAGGTAGGGGAAAGTGGGTGTATTGCGCCCTCCTAACCAATTGCGCCCACCAACATTCCCACGAATTCAATGGCATGTTTTGAATTTTGTGTTCGAAAACATTATTTTCCCCACTGGATAGCTCCTTGTATGGCCCAAGCTCTCCGATGAAGCCAATCAGCAAGACTCATTACGCCATCAAAGATGTTACGGCGTTTTCTTAGCTTTTTTGCAGTATTTTGAACCGTTGGCTATAAAAATTTGTGATATTCGTGTGATTTTCAGAGTGATATTTAGACAGAAAACCCCTTTTTTCATTATATTTCACTGAAACAGTCAACTTCCTTCAACATCTTTATGATAACTTCTACGCTTTTGTTTAAAAGTACCTCAATTTTAATTGCGCCCATGGCAATTGCGCCAGGGGGGCGCAAATAGAATAATGGTGTAGCTATTTTATCACGACGGTATGAATGCAACATTAACTGATTGCAATAAAGAAGGAGTTTGATGTCAGGCAGGGGAGCAACCCGCTGTCTTCGGTCCGCAAATTATTTCTCTCGTCAAACTTATAATGCAGCTGCCATTTAGGCCACGAACTTGTGGTGTAATTGACAAAATACGACATTTTCAACATGGACTCAGGCGTGAGAGATGACAGCTATGATAAAAAAGTAAAAACTGATGTCATAAAGCTGTCGAAACGATAAAAATCATTAATTTTGAGAGAAACGATTGAAAATGTAACCGTATAGGCGCATCCGTTCACATATCTAGTCGGTTACAGTAAACGTTTTCGTTGCACTTTTACAAGCGTACGGACACATGAAAAGTTATCTACCTGGGCAAAAAAAAAACATCGCGATCTACACCTACATTTATTATTTAACCAGCATGAATAACATTATGAACATTAACCCTACAGAACCCTGTAGAACGCCTAGGGGGGGGGGGTTGTATCAACCCCCCCCCCCCCTGAGGTTTTTTCGAAGTGCACGCTAAACGGCTTGTCGTAGCGGGCTGAAATTTTCAATACCCTCTGGGGCAACCTTTGCGCATCTTTTGCCGAAAAAAAATTGATCGGGTCACGTCAGGTCACGGAGTTATGACGTCATAAGAGGTACAGCCTCCGGCCGGATTTTCACAAACTGAGTGCCAACGCCCGAGGTTTCCTGCCGGTGGTACGGACATCGGTTGATGGATCGTGATGAAACTTCCCATGCATGTTGGGGCAAGTATTGGCTATCATATGGTATAAGAAATTTGACCGGGTCAGGTCAGGTCACGGAGCTATGACGTCACAAGAGGAACAGCGTCCGGTACTATTTTTGAAAAGCGCCCGAACCACTATTTTGCTAATTCTTGTCACCTCAATGGGAATATGCAGCAATATTAGCTTCTATAGGGAGCAAATGGACCTCCCAAATCCAAAAATACAATCAGATTTCAAAAATTTAAATTTTGATTTTTCGAATTTCTGCCGCCGACTGTGACCTTGCCGACTTCCGGCGCTCCCAACGCGCCATTTTTAGAGCTAGGGAAACGAAATACATACCAAACGATAGAAAAGTGATCAAGGAACACGATACTGAAGGTTTCAAGTCGATATCGCCCACCGTTTTGCCGCAATCGCCACCGAAAGTTGAAAAAAGTCTATTTTTCCGAAAATTTGACCTTTGACCGGTCATAAGTAGGTCAAATGTTGACCTAGGACCAAAAAATATACCACCAATCGCGAGATCTCGTTGAGAGCAATCCCTTGGTTTTTTCCGCTAAGCTCTACGACCTTCCGTTTCGAAACGCCAGGGGGGGGTCGTAACAACCCCCCCCTCCCCCCTGGTCGTTCGTGTTATGAGAAATGGCCTGGTCTTGCGAGGGTTAAAGTAAGCCGCAATGACATTAAACTGCCGGGGTGTATGCATTCCGTCTCATTCACTTAGCCATGTTAAAGTATAGGGCGCAATTGGGTTCTAATTGCGCTATCCCCCTGGCGCAATTTACAGCAGTTGTTGGCAAATGCGCCCTTTTGCATGTTTCTGAAAAAGCAGCTGTCAGAAGCAAACGAAACATTCTTAATTGCTCGGGAGGCTTTTAAATCGTAGCCAATGACTTCCTCTTTGAAATGGTTACCAGTGCATGCTTATATCTCCAGCGGTTTTCTTACAATTAGCGTTTTTCCTTAAGGTGGCGCAATTCACCCTCCTTCCCCTACGGCTTATCACAAAACCTAATGAAGCTAGAAAGACGGCAGAAAATCAATAGCTAGCCATAAAATCTTTCAGAATTATTACGGTCATTTTTTTGTTCAGGTCATTGCTGAAGAGTGAAGACACTAGAAGAGGTCACAAAAGTAAGGTTATAGCCTATAGGTATGGCCTTGGTTAAAATGATCACTCACATTATTTCGACTGTGAGTTGTGACCTTGGTTGTGACAATCCTTCACAAATCGACGTAAATGGCGTAGGTATATTCGCCTTGATATACCTACCGTAGACGGTGTGTAGGTCACTCGATTGAGCAGGCCTTCCTTCGCAGTTTTATCGTTTTTTATTGTCGCTTTGGAGAAGTCCGGTGGCACAGTACCTACCTACATGACCTGATATTGATAGATCTATCGATAGATTTTTTGTACCGTTCGATTAGTGCATTATATGAACCTCACACATATGCGGTAACAATTAGAGGTGGCAAAATGTGGACCCGAGGACCCGGTCCAAAGAAACAGTCTGGACCCATATGGGTCCAGACCGGTTCCTGGAAATTTTGTGACGGGTCCAACCGGGTCCTACCATCAACTACCATAAACTATGTGCAAAAATGTATTACATCTTGCTCACTACACATTATTGCAAAATATGAAGTGAGTGAAGTGAATGTTTCTTTGCACACAGTAGCTCACGAGTATTCCCAGTGGGAAATAGGCTGTTTTACACGATGCAACTAATGACACCTACAAGTAGTGTAGTTTGTATTAATTGACTTTAGGGGAACGGCCGTCCAAACGGTTCCGATTCCAACTAAGACCGGGTCCGACTGGTTCCAGAAATGTCCAGCCGGGTCTGGTTCGAGTCTGGTTCCCAAAATTTTCATCTTTTGCCACCTCTAGTAACAATCATCCGTACGACTATCGAATATTCAGGTATATCCCATCCCGCTCGCAAATCCCGCACGTACGCCTACATACATCCCCCAATCCCCATTTCCCCTACATACCTAAAGTAGATCCCATCCCATGCGTAGATCCCCAGTCCGTTTGCAGGTCCCGTCTGTAGATCCCGTAGATCCCATTTAGCGCCGGGGAGCCGAGACCGCACAGAAGTCAGCCCGGCACCGGCTCCGCCCGTCACGCCGGTTCAGTCGGGCGCCGATCGCCGTACGGTGCGGACGAGTCACGCTGCGTCGTTCGGCAGACCGCGCGTGGTGTGCTCGCCGAGTGATACACCCGGGTGTTGAGTGATGGCTCGTACCGGGAGGGGCCTGATGGTGTTACTCGCCGTTTTGCTGCTGGCTGGCACGCTGGTGGCGACGGCGAAGGTGACGATCGACAAGAGCCGGGTGTATGTGGATAAGTGCCGGAAACACTGCATTGCCGAGGTAAGCCCGACTGGACGGAGGGGTACGGACTACGGAGCTTGTTGACTTCTATTGTCACTATGCGTTGGTTCGCTCACGAGCTACGTATCAAGCTAACGCCAGTATTAAATGCATTTGGTGTGTATAAATGTATTGACTTTTGAAGCTACCTTGTTCTGGATTTTTCGGTAAATTTTATAACAAACGTGATAAATAAATATAGCATAAAGCACATTTCAAAGTTCTGAAATAAACGAATGCTATTTTGAAGCACAATTCAAAAGTATGTTTTTGTTGAGCTCCTATTGATCCGAAAGTCAGACCGTAAATCAAAATTACACATCTCGAGCATGAGCTTAGCCAATGCTCACCCCACCTGTGGAACCCTTCGACTGCCCGCTGTTTCTTACGAGCAAGCCCATCCCGCGTGCCGCGAGGTTCCGTTTTGTTGGCCGGCGTGGGAACCGTTCCGGAACCGGCGCCGGTGCACCGGAAGCGGTCGGTTCCGGTCGGCCGCCCACTGTGACCGACGACCGTGCAGCGTGCCGAGGATGTGCAATGGTGCACAGTGCAGCGAGCAGTGTGCACTGTGATCTAAGCTACTGCCGATGAACCGCGCGTCACTCTCCTTAAGCCGGGTGATGTGAAGGTAGTGGCGTCCGGCAGCTGCGAATTTATATGCGACAGTTGGCAGATGGGAATGACGCTGCATGGCGATTGTGACTGGGCTTCACACATGCATCGGTAGCGGGAATACTGGATCAAAGAGGATACTTATGGGTTCATGGAACATGTGCATTGTGCATGGGAGCACCATTCGACCCTCTGGCGGAGAGATGCATTTCAGAACAGGGTTCTTTGCATTTACCTAAGTTAGATATATTTAGTAAGCTAGCTTTATTTAAGCACATTGCACCTGTATATGAACGCATTTTAGTCAGTCATACTTTTCCTCGTCCAAAAATTAATATTATGTCAAGCGTATGTATGTAATGTCAATGAAAGTCACGGTAAACTTATTTTTGAAATTTGAAAGTCGATCGTTTTATTACAAATTCAAACAAGCATATCTGGAAGATAATCGAACTATACAAATGGAGCTCTTACGATTTAAATTATAATCGAATATCACGATAAGGATCGTTCTAGGGTCAGCTGCGACTTTAGTAATTAAACCGTCTGCATAGCCAAAGCTATGGACATTGAAACTATGCCTTCTTTTTTAATTCGAATAAATGCAGAAGCTGCTGTGTGGAACCTCTGCAGGCTCTCCGCGGGAGCCGGCGCGGGGTCGGGAGCCGCCGAGCCGCCCGCGCCGAGCCCATGCGTCCCGGCGGGTCACCGTGCCCACACACTGCTCTCATGTGGCGCGCGGCGCGATACCATCGGCCCCATTCGTCAGCCAGATCCAGATGATCGATACGGGGAAACGGCCGCCCGGTAAAAGGGTTGGCTGCACAGAAACGGGCCGTTAGAGCACGCGGGGATTGACCCTTCGCTGGTGGCGCGCCACTGCAGTCGGACAGCCCTGAGGTGACCGACACGGGACCGAGACCGACCCCAAATGTGCCATCTGGGAGGCTCAGATGTCATCCGATGGGGACACAGAGCTGACAGCAGCAGCGGCCCTGGCGGGGTTTGATAAGCCGGCCAATACCGAATCAGAATTCAGAGCGGCGTGTGCCGTCGTGAATCGCTGGAACTCGGCCCGACGTGACCTAGCGCGAGTCTCACATTGACACCCACGAGGTGAGCCGTCCATTCATAAAGCACGCCATCCATCAGCCAGGGATGCCTCTGTCACTTAAAACTTGTGACTGAGCCATTCCTTCCACTGTTGGCTAAGCCATGGCCGTAGCCTCACTCCAAGCCCGACGACGAGCTTTGCCGAAACTCCGTGACTTGTCGCCTGAGCTCTTCCGGCCGTCCCGTCACGCCGAGCCGCTCGCCGTTACGCTGTAACGTGACGGCTTATCACGTCGCTCCGGGTACCGTTCGCCGCTCGTCGCCGCGTCACACGTCGTCTGAGCGCGCCGAGTTCAGCGCACTGCGTCGGAATGCGCGCCGCGCCGCTGCGCTGTTTTGCCGCACGCGCTATCGCGTCGTATCTGGCGCGCGGTGACGTGCGGCGGCGCGGCGGTGACGGCGTGTGACTGCGGTCTTGGCTGGAATGTCAGACGCGCCCGACAGTCGTGCGTGGGTCCCCCGAGACCCATGCGACCGCCGAGATGTCGCAGCCTGCGGGAGGGACTCTGGTGCGGCCGCGCGGTGAAGAGTTCGAGGCAGGAGCCAGCGAGGCCCTGACAACTTGCCCTAACTTGTTTATATCTGATTTTTCTTCTTCATATTTGATTTGTTTTAAATGACATAACGTTTAAAAAGCGATGCGATAAAAAGCGATAAAAAAACGATAAGAAATTTCACTTTTTTATCAAGTCACATGTTTAGCAAATGCCCTCATTTCAGGCTCAATTTTGTCCCAAAATCATCGAGCTGAGACGACCGTTTCCCAGTCCAACAGCTTTATAGTTCACTTTGGACTGTGGAAGCTCTGGTTAGTTTTCCCCGTCGCTTCCGAGTGCCGCTTCTCCAAAAGACAAACCACTCCCGTCCATCACAAAGTGGCGCCGCCGCCGTTTAAACGTCCCGTGTCGCGACCGTTACCCAACCACTTCCCTCCCTCCTTTCCATGAGACTGAACCCTTTACCCTCCCCTTTCAGACCCGTCCTTCATTGCGCTTCTGTCAGTCCTCCTCACCGCTACCTTTACCTCGCCGCCCACCGCCACCGGCGTAATCACTGTTTTTACCGAAAAATCGCCCCCGTAATGGGCGCGCTCGGTTACGGAGCGTACCATTAGCACGGGCACTCCACATGCACGGCTCTGTCACGGGGGTGCGGTGATGGCGTTATAATTAGAAGGGTGGCGATCGGCACTTCAAAGGGGCGGTACGGCGGCGACGGAAGCGGCGGTGTGATTATGCGCCAGGTGGACCGAAGCGGAGGCGATTAGGGCTCGGCCGACCGAGCACCGCGGGTCGGTCGAGAGGCGACCGCGCTGTGACCTGGTTTTTTGTCGACTGTGGTGACTAATGAGTGCGCTTCTTTGTTGCAGCTGACGCCGGACGCCGGTGGGAGCGGCTGCCTGAGGACCGAGCAGTGTCTCCGGGTGAGTGGTTGGGGACTGGGGTGAGCTGGATAAGTGTGTGGGGTGAGCTGGGTGAGAGCGTGGGCTGAGATGGTTGTATGGGTAAGGGCGGGATGAACTAGGTGAATGGATGGATGGGAGCGCGTAGGGTGGAGTATGGGTGATTGAGTGGGGCCTGGGTGTATGAGTAAGTGGATGGGGTATGCTGTGATAGCTGGGATAATTGCATCGGTATTTACTTTTCTTCAACAGTGAACGGCTGTCATCGCGATATATTTTTGACCAGTTTTCCGCCTTTTTCAGTGCTGGGCGGCCTGCCAAGCGTTCCAGAGCGATCACTTCATCAGAGATTATTGCAAACGGAACAAGGCCTGCGTGAGTATCAAGTGTTTAGCTCAATCCATGGGTAAATCAGATTTTAATGTTGTGTTTTGTGGCTGCGCCTAGCAAACTTATCAATTACTTATTCGCACAGCCTTTTGCTCCTCGCTGGATGATATTGTTCATGAGTGATACGGATGTGCCCGGTCAGAATTTGTGCTTCTTTTTATGTTGCTATTACGATAATTTGCTAATGGCGTGCCATTTATTCCATCCACAGACGGCGGGGTGTCAACAGGCCTGTCTGTTTTACCTGGGTCACCGCGACCAGCTGCCGACCGGGTCAGGTCAAACGTCACCTGAGACTGAGGCAGAGTCAGGTCAACCGGTCATCGAACCGCTGACCATGTCAGATCAGACGGTATCCGGATCCAAGTCTCGCGAGGGCGATGTGAGTATAGAACAGACGGCTACACCGGACATTTAGCGTTCACTGAAAATCATTTATATGTTGCGGTATAAGGCACTGTTGCAGTGGCTGATGTTGCACATATGATCGAATAACAGCCACTGCTGTTTATCAGCTGCACGTGCTTAAAAAATACATACCTACGCGCTATTCACAATGAACACGGATAACAAAAATAACAAAAATACACAATTTGCATTGATGTCGTAGATAACGTTGGCTTTTAGCATATTATTTTAAATAGGTATGCTTATGTCCTTTAAGTTAAACTAGGTACACCATAAATTCGTATTTCGTAAAACACCCCGTTTTTGTGCGGGCCGTTGTGTCGTGTGTTTGAGGGTTCTCACACATCTGTGTTGACACAGACTGTGGTCCGGCCGCGTTTTTGTGGGCAGCCCTATCCTCCCGGGACGGTATCGTAGAACACCCAGAGCACCCGTCGCTCATTTGATAAGCATCGCCACGACTGGCGATAGGCATCGGGTGGACGGCTCAAGGCCCCGCAACGGCCGTCCGTCCCTCCCGGCCCGTCGGGTCCTGTCGCGGTTCACCCGGTTCCACCCGTCCTACTGGGTCCCACCAGCGACCGACCATCCGTCCCGCCCTGCCCGTCAGGTCCTGTCGGGGTTCGCCCGGTCCCACCCGATCCCACCGGGTCCCAGAGTCTCACCACACAGCATGGTGTTAGCCTGACCACTGTGACTAGTTAGCAGTGTAGTACGATGCTTTCAGTTTCTTCTACCCCACTGAATCTGACCTCACCCTCCCTTCTACTCCACTAGATCTGACCTCATCCTCCCTCCCTACCACTGGATCTGACCTCACCCTCCCTTTTACCCCACTGGATCTGACCTCACCTTCCCTCCACCTCTCTGTATCTGACCTCGGTTCTCTCTGCTCCCTCAGACGGTCTGGCGGCCGCGTCTCGCCGGCCTGACCTCCACCGCCTCTCTGGTGTCGGCCTCAGTCACCTGGCCGGCCCGCGCCGCCGCCGGCCAATACCTGGTCACCTGGGAGCTCCTCTCGGGCGGCCTGAGGGGTCACCTGGTGTCTGAGGAGACGGCGGCGTCCCTGCCGCTCTGGCCCGACCAACAGTACCTTGTCCAGGTGAGACGATCGCCGCCGCGCCGATGCCAGTTAATGTTATTTGGAAAAAAATGCAGTTCACATTTATACGACTTACGGGTATATGATCGTAAGTGCATATCGTTCTGTTTAATAAAAGGCAAACAGTTTGACAAAAATGACCCGCGCTTGTTTGTACGAGTTCCTAAGAAGACACTCCTGAGGATAGAGTTCGTTTCGTCATCTGCGTTCCTGCTAATCCTGCTCCCGTTTACATTATGCTATACGAAGAGGTTCTAATCCGATTATAGTTTTGGGGTGTGGTGCCGATGTAATGGTTCTGGTGTCCAGCCTGACGTGTCCTAATGGTCCGATATCCGGCCCGGCTGCTCAGGATCCCCGAGATCAGTCAGTCCCAGTGGGCGGGCTCTCATTGTGTGCTAATGTGGGATCAGGATGTGTCAGTGTCGGGGTGCGTCCAGTCTCGGCGGTTCCAGTATTGTTCTCCGATAAAATTCCACTTCTTGGGATTCCTGATAGTCGGACATCTCGCTAAATTTATATGATAGCTCATTGAATCGGAAATTTGAAGCAGTTGGTGTGGTGTATTATAATGCATGAAGCTCTCCGACATTAATATTTATCTTCTGCTGTTTCAGGTTTTCTGCGACGGCGGAGCCAGCCAGCCTCTGCGAATAGATACGAATCAGAGTAAGACTATCCAACCAGATAATTACAAAACACCTGCAGAACTCTCCATCGACGATGAAGTCTCTATCGACGATGGTCGAGCACTTCCGACAGAGAAACCCGTCGAAATACCTTCAAAATCTAGTGCGAAAGCATATTCAGAAATGGAGATCCCGGCTTTCGCTCGCGTAGCACCTCTCATGGATAGAAGCCACAAGACGCCCGCACAGTTGGTGCCTTCAGCTGCTTCTGTGGAGGTGACCCGCCACGATGGAGACTCTGCCGGCAGACAAGTGATAGTTCCTGACCGAACACCTACGCCGCTAGCGTCTGCGTCGCTGCTTCTCGTCTCCATGACACAGAGTTCAGAGAATATCTCCTCCGTTAGATCAGCCGACAACTCGGCGAAGTCGAAGGGACCTAGCCCAGCAATCAGCCGGCTACCCGCTCTGCTGGCAGCGCTAGCCGTGCTGGTGCTAGTGCTGGGCGCTGGTGTAGTGCTGACAGTCAGAGCTAGACTCCGGTCTCAGCAGCGGGACCAGCGGGACCAGCGGTGGACCAGCGCGGACCGGGACCGTCGCACGCTGCTGGACCAGCAGCCCGGCGAGTGGCGGTCCCTAGCCCTACCGCTGCCTCGGGTGTCCGTCAACCCACGCCGGACGCCGATCTTCATCGTGCCCTGCCACAAACGGTGATTATTTAATGTCGTGGAATGACGTCACTACTGGGGTGTTATGTATGCGTGCGTGTGTCGACGGTTCGTCGATTGTCGGGCGGCATTCCGTCCGAAGAGGCTGTGATATGGTGTAGTGTTGATGCGGTCGGTGTTTTTTGTTCACTGTGATACGTTGTTATGATAATCGGTTGATCCATTCGTGTGGTTTGTGGTTTCAGAAGAGCCATGAGTGTGTGGCTAACCATGATCCCTTTTTGCGTGCTTTGAACGGTAAAGATAAAAGACAGTTTACACGCGTAAGATGTCCAATCATCGTCACTCATCTGGCAACCCTCGATGTTTTTTTTTTTTTGTAAATACGTGATGTCTGTGAGCTCATCTCATATCGATGTCTGAACTTCTGAACTGTATATTTTATATAAATAAAGTTACAAATGGACGTATTTTTTTACTGATCAGCCAGGGGCCCGGGAACGATTTTCAAGTTGGGGGGGGGCGAGCCTAAAATACCTAACATGATGCATATTGAACAGTGGCGTAGCTAAGGGGACACGTGCCCCCCCCCCATTAGGTTCAAAGGACCCCTCGGGTCCGAGGGGTCCTGCGGCGCCATTTGACCGCTGAGGGTTAACGATGGCCACTCAGAAGGCCCCATGGGGCTCGTTAGAGCACCTCATGAGCCCTAAATAGCCACACTAAGACGTCCATAAGGGCCCCACACCGGCTTCTGAGGGCCTCTTGCGGCTTTTAAGGGCCCCTTGGTGGTCCCCAAAGGCCCATTACTGGCCTCTGAGAGTTCTTACCGGCCTATAAGGGGCCAGTTCTAGGGGCATTTCCCGCCTGTGATGGTCCCACACTTATTTTTCTGAGGACCTCATAACGGCAACTGTGGGGGGCCCTCATCGGCGCCTATGAGGGCCCACACTGGTGTCTCTGAGGGTTTCACACCCCAACTCTGAGTGCCTACACCAGTGCCTATTAAAGTCCTATATCGGCGGCTCTGAGGAGTGAGGACCCAACAGTCAGCACCTGCGCATCTAAAGGCCACCCACTGGTGATGCCGGTCTCCAAGGACCCCACAGGACTTCTTCTGCCGGCCTAAGGGCCCCTTGCCGGTCACTGAGAACCCCTTGCCGCCTTGAAGAGGGTTCGCATCAGCAGCTCTAAAGGCCCCACACCCGTCTGTAACGGCTCCACACCAGCGTCTATGAGGGCCCACAGCAAAGCCTGTGAGGACCCTCACAGGCTCCTCTGACAGAACCACACTAGCACCTCTGAGCGCCCACACCGGCACCTGCATGACGGCCCCACACCAGTGCCTCTAAAGGCCCCTTACCGGTGGCTCTGAGGGCCCTACGCCGGTGATTCTGAGGGCGCTACCGATAACTAAAGACACCACACAAACCCTTAGTGTCGCCATGGATGATATAACACTGGATTGGCGTCTCGTGGAAATTAACATTGGGATCCGCGACATTGGGATCAGGCCTGCCATCTAGCGAGAAAATTATCGTAAGTTAGGAGCAAGCCGAGTGAACGCCATCTCTCAGCATTATGACACACGTGGGTGTGGTGTGTTAGTTGGCTCGAAGTGCATATTCCCACGAGTTGGAGGTAATCTTACTGGACCTGAGACGACAAAAAATGTCTTAAATGCTTGAAAGCCAAAAACGTCAAGCAGCCTTTAGGTAATAACGAAAATAAAATGCGTAAGACGGTGTGTATTGAAACGCCCAGTCCCATCGGCTTGTACGAGCTTTTATATGGCCATTTACTCACACTGATATACAGCAGTTTGACAACATGTCATACACATTTGGTAGGCTTATTCCTTCTTCTCCGAATTTCGCCCGATTTTCTTCATCTTAGTTAATGTTACGGCACGTGTCACGTGCCAACTTAGGGGTGTCGAAATTGTTCCACATAAAGTAACTCCGCAATGGCTGGGCCCATTACAGTAAAACTTCGTCAATAGTTAGGCACCCAGTGGCCAATGCATTTCCATGTGTCACTATGGGGGTGCTACTGCACGTGCGCACGTGCGGGGTGCCGCTTCCATAGCTCAAGAACGGCTGGGCGGATAACACTCAAACTTGGTACACAAATGTCACATCGATGCTCGCACTGCATTGATCAGTGCTTACATTGGAGTCGTTAGGAAAACGATGAAATAAGATGCGTGGTGTTTATGCCTTTCTGTTCCAGCAGCTGATTGATCCGCAACAGGAGATCCTTGTTTGTGAAGGCTTCGTCTCCCTTTTCCACTCCTTGTTTAAAATAACATTCACAATGTACGAAGAAGATCACACATCAAAGTTGTTTTAGGCGGCTATCTTGGGCCAGGGCTGCGGAGTTGTAGTCAGAGCCAGTGGTTCTGTCCCGACTCTGAGTCGGTTGATTATTAAAAGCTGTAGTCGGAGTATGAGTCGAACATCACCGAAAAGTCATCGACTCCACAGACTTACCAGGGCTGCAGAGTCGGAGTCAGAGTCGGAGTCTGTGTGAATCGACAGTTCTGCCCGAAGGAGTCTGAGTCGATATTTGGATACCGGAGTCGGAGTTGGAGCCAAAGTCACTGAAATTTCATCGACTACGCAGCACTGGTTGGGTCCTTTTCATAGAGCGTCTTGAATGACATATTGAGCGGCAATGACGTTAGCAATTCCGTTTAACTTTTTCATTAGACTTATAGATAGTACTTACGTTCATTTTGTTCTTTGATCAGACAATTTGTTTGATTTAGGCCAAGTAAAGACTCATGTGAAAAATAGCGAAAACGACACGTGCTGGCGAAGCCTCCAATAACTCCCTGTTTCACGATTTAATGATGAAATAACATGGAACTGCTTATCTTATTACTGACCCTGCACATAAATCTACTAATTTCTTCGCATTTGCTGACATATAAAGACATAACCTTTTGAAAAATTGCAAAACAAGCCTGCTACTACACGACACTCCCGTGTGTCACAATGCTAATCAGCGGCGTTCACTCGGCTTGCTCCTAACTTACGATAATTCTCCCGCTAGATGGCAGGCCTGAGCTCAATGTCGCCAAAAACTGCGAAGACACCAATCCATTATTATCTCATCCATGGTGTCGCTGAGCTTTAATCCCATACCGGTCTTCCGAGGGCGCCACGTCAGTGCACTGAGCACTCATTGCCCCACACCCCTCCCTCATACCCGGAGCTGTGTTATGCCTATAGCAACGATTTTACCACCGTTGTACGTTATATATTTCTCAAAGTTGACTCAAATGGTCCAGTATAAAATCTGGCCTGCCAAACTTTTGGCTAAGGTCAGGCCCAAACCAAAGCGGGATGACAATAGCAGAAGTTGTCAAATCAATACTGTATCAGTAGAAAGTCCATTTAGATGGCCAGGAAAATGCCGTGTGTTGATGTTTAGATGTATAAAGCAAACAAGAAGGAAAGAAGTCCGGAAAAGGGAGGAAAGATCCTTTATCGATGCCTCAATGTTGAGGGGGCGCCGCCCCCTCGGCTCTCAAGTTGGGGGGGGGGGGGGGGCAAGCGCCCCCGCTGCCCCCCCCCCTGTTCCCGGGTCTATGTGATCAGCAGTTCATGCGATTTTCCCGTGCCAAATTGCTTTCAGGTTATCAGTCGTTTTGCCATCGAACGTTTAAAATGTCCCCTCTTCATTTCCACTGGAAACAATGGAATCCGCACATTTGGTCCCATGGTCTCTGATAGCCGATAGGGCTGGTCAAAATGGTCATAAGGCTCGCAGTGATTGACGTCAAAGATGAAATTTCTCCAATATACCTAACTCACTTCTGGAAGCTGTCATGGATGCGTCGGGTTAATAATATTGATGGCTACCGGTCCCATATGTTCAATAAAGACACAATTGCAGAAACGTCGGTGGAGTAACGTGGAGGCGGATTTTGCTGATACTGATGAGTCTTGTGCAAATTATTTTATAGATAAGACTAACTTTTAGCTACATAGACATAAGTTGGGTCATAGACCTCTGTATACAGAGGACTATGGTTAGGTGCTATGTATAAGATGGTGCTGTAAAGGAATCGTATTAATTTCAACACTGAACACAAAGGGTAAAACTGTTCCATTTTTTCGGTTTAAACCAATGTATTCGAATCAGGTACGAAATAGAAGCTGTATGTACTGATCAGCATTTTATTTGTAGATTATTGCGGCTCTGTAGGGGAAGAAACATGCTTGAAAACGGTTGCTAATAATTGCATTAGAAGCTTAATCCGACTGAACATTATTTTTTTTTGTAGATTTCGAAGTAAGCATTTAGTCTCACCAATTTTTTTGTGCTTCCGTAACCACAATAACGCCAAATCATCGTGACACTTTTGTCACGGAATAAATAGCCTAACGACACTATTGACTATATAGTTCGTTGTTCGACTATTATATTCCGTGCTGCAGTTGCTGAGTTAGGACATCCACGAATGAGGCATGTGTACATACCTGATTTGCCCTTACTGGTTTCAACAGAGTCAGTATTTCCGAAAGTAAAGTACTTCTCTTTGCTACGGTAATATGGTCATAGTGTCTCAAAACGGCTATAACGATAGCCTGATAGGTCAACACTCGCAATGGGCTAAGCGTGTCCGTCGCGTGCAGGCGGCCTTACTTTCGGTCCATTTAGCGAGTTCCGGAGATCCGGCTCGGCAAAGCTGCACCTGCGATTAAAGTGAGCTCAGAGCGGAGAATCAGGGGCTCAGAAAAGAGGACTACCTAAGCCAGACGCTGGCTTTCCTCCGCCACTGTGACGCATACTCGTCATGGAACGACTGTAGAGAACATTGAACTCATACGTTGCTCGCAGCCCGCAATAGGTAGGTAGGTGCTCTAACTTCGATTAAGAAGCACTTCTCCGAGGTAATCATGGAAACTCGAGGAAAGCATTCTTACAAGAGCTTTGAATGCATTCAGTAGGCAAATGTTTATACTTGTACTGTAGGGTAGCCTGGGGCAAGACGCCCCAGATAATTTATTTTGCTACATAACTTTTGTCCCACATCACCTGGAAGGCCAAATTTGTGCTCAATGCGTTCTTTGGACATTTTACTTTAAATTCCATCCCTCAAATTCATTCACTTATGATTGGACTCCAAGCCAGGAAGTGATTTGTGAAGCAACTGCAAATGGGGCATTTTGCCCCAACCCCAGGGCAAAACGCCCCACGGCCTGGGGCAAGTAGCCCCATACTCTAGATTAAAGATTACACATGGTAGTTGGCTAAATCTTTTATGAGAGGTCCGTTAGACCTCGAGAGGCACGGCACTGAAGTTAGCACATTCCATCCTATCAGGTGTTCAGCTATGACACTATTGTATGAGCAGGTTTTTCACCTGCCACATAAGGCCAAATAATAAATTATTGCAATGCAAATGTTAACAAAATACCTCATTTGTCTTCCAGCTGCTGAGAAAAATACATA